CTAGTAATTTAAACTGTAAAACTAAGACCAAGCTGCGAGCATTGAATGGACAGCGTAATGAAAACAGAAGCCTAGTCATGAATGTAAACAAACATGAAGAATAAGCAATAGTGTTGAAATGACAGCATGTACACTGATGTCTGGTCAATTTGCAATGTCAAACAGTCAAAAATAATCTTATGCTGCTGTGATTATTGACCTTATGTGTGGTTATTAAACATCTGCTAAAACAAAAACCTTTTTCCCCTCACAATGTGCCTGGCCTAAAACAATAAATAACACCGACACTATAGATGCTCATACATCTTTTTTGAGCTCGATTATGTTTACTAAACTCATGTGATGTGGTCATTGAATTTTATGAATGAGATCTAAAATAATTATTCATTATCGATACATTTTGTTTGTTATTAATACAGACTTAAAGCCTGAGCGAGATAATATATTTGATGTGAAAAGATAAGAACAAGCTTAAAATTAAGGTCGTCAGTCTTAAAAGAACAGTTTCATCGCAAAAAAAAAGACAACCAGACAATTTACTAAATTTTTTATTTTGCAGAACGAACCAGAGCCCAAAAGATATGGTTTGTATTAAATAAAAATACCAACCATTCAAATTACGTTAAAGCCAGTGTTAGTATAAAAACATTACAGAAAGCTTAAATAATTTAAAACTATTTAAACTTGAGCTATACTTTTAGCGGCCACAAATGTATGCCACCATTTTGATCAACAAGAGCATAAGAGCACTTGGGGAATATTATGATTGTCAAAGGCAAGTTTACTCATACTTACATTTCCTGTTATACGTTCTTCTTATTCTTCCTATTCATCGCCAGTGAACTTTCTTGAAATACAAAGAAAATTTCTCTGTTCTTGCCCGCGGAATCCCTTGCCCGCAAGAAGACGTAGCCACATGTGTGTAGATTTTCCAAATCGAATGTAGCGATCACCAAGCAAATCTTCGCGCATGCTCAGACGTTTGACCGCGGTGGACTGGAAAGACTGGATGCGGTCTCTGGAAAAACTAGTTACCAGTCTACCGGCATTCGAGCCCACACTCATAAAGTTGGGGCCCGCGGATTCCCAACAAAACTAAACGTGGCCTTGTGGAAAACATGGCTGCAAAAGAAATCGCGGTTGTTTTTGTTATTGTATCCACTATTTCTCCAAGCCTTGGCGACAATGTGATTTCACTCACAGATGTGGATTTCGACGACAGGGTGTTCAGCTCGTCCACGCATTTTGTAATGTTCTATGGACCTTGGTAAGTGGCATGGAAGGTGGAATATTGATACCTAGCTCTTGAAACATTAATCTGATGCGATCTACGACACACACCTGAAGTAGTTCTGTCCTGGGACAAATTCAACATTAAACTTGTTACACTTGTAAATTACAAGTGCAGCATTTTTTAGCCACGCTTTTAGAAATTGCTCTCCTTAAAGTTTTTCAGGTGTAGAAATAAGCCCTTGGCTTACTGATTTTTGAGAATTTAGCCTTCAAGTTTTTTTGCTATTAAAGTTCAATATCTTGAAAATCTTTAGTTTATCGGACTTGGATTTTGCTCTCGTATACCAGCACAGAAACCCTGGAATGAACAACTCCTATTGGAACTCAAGTCACTTGCTGTGATGTTTTAATCTAGCTCGTCACCTTTTTCTTGGTGAAATAATGCCTGACAAAGCCCTAATAAGGTTCATTGCGGAAGGGGTGCTGCTGAAAAAATTAGGTCCTGGTGTTGTGCAGTATAGTTTTAAACTATTATCCAACCACGTCTCCAGGGTTCTTTCCTTCTCTCACCTCTTTCAGGTCCTCTAAGGAGAAGGAGGGGGAGGAGGGTGCTGTCCCTTCTGTCTGAATGTAAAATATGGTCGTTTCACATTTTGAGGAGTAGTCCATGTCCTTGTCAGTGTTTTACTTGTCTTAAGGTCACTTGTTGCCATTTCATCTAGTCTCTAGCCTGTGGGGAGCAGACACTTTTTTCGGCTCTTGTTTCACCTGCCAAAAAATTTGCAGAAAAAACATCTGCTCCCCGCAGGCTGTCTAGTCTTATGTTGCTGTTTCAAGGCCATGTTGCTTGTGGGTATTTTACCCTAACAGGGTTCTCATCCCTACTCATCCCTCTCTTGCTCCGTAGGGACAAGTAAGAGAGAACGCTAGAAAGAGGTTGACTATTAGCTCATTTCAGCCAAAAAATGTGTTATATTTGCCCACCCAATTTCAGACCAGTCTCTCACAAGTGATAGCTCCCTGTTCATAGCCATTGGCATCTGAGTCGCCTTCAGTTGACTATCTAGTTAGATAAGAAAAATTCACTTGGGGGGACAGAAAGCGAAAAACCTGAGCGAAGGGTGCACTTATCATCCCTAGCTAACACTCCCTCTGACTGCACTTCTCTTCTTAACAATAGGAGACTTAGGGCCTATCTGCATTAGCAAAAAAGCTGTTTAGTTAGACAAATTGTTTTGTCATCACCAATGCTTAACAAATGTAAATTGTTTGTCTCAATTTTACAAATTTTGTCTCAGACAGGAAATCTTCAAAGGCATCGTGGGCAAAATTTATCCTGTTTAAAACTGAACAAAATCGAGTAAATAAACAAGAATTGTTTTTCTTGTCGATCATTTGTTGTAAAGCCGTTATTTTTTCCATTAACAAATAAAGTCCCATCAAATCAAATGGCCCGATAAGAGTAAATAGTTTCCTGTGCAGATAAATTTCTTCGAAACAAAAATTGGCACCATATACTTTTTCGGTTTAGATGTTCCAAAGACCATTCCGATTTTGTCTGCTAGTGTGGAAAGGCCCTTGGAGACAACTGGGGATGAGTCAGCCTTTGCATACAGAGCCCCCTGCCTGCTGGTGGGTCACGGCATCCTGTCAGTAGGAAATAGTTTTGGTTATTAACTTATTGAGGCAAAACATTTTGATGATGACCTCATGGAGTTATTCTGTTTTTCCTTTGTTTTGCGCACAAAATGTAGGTGTGAGCACTGTAAAAATTTCATGCCAACATGGAATTTGTTAGCTGACCACTATGGGAAAATTCCACATAATGAGCTTGTAACAATAGCTAAGGTACAGTGTACTTGAAGTTAAATACATAACCTTTTGGTGACTTCTGTAAAACTCGGAAAACTGTGAATACCAAAAATATTTCTGGAATGTTATTGTGTTGCGAGGAAAAAGTCAATCAAGGGTAAGAAAACCAAACGTCAAACAGCAACCTTAATTTAGTTTGTGGCTTTGTGGCTTGCGTGCATGTTCTGATCTTTGATGTGATTGGTCAAAACACAATCGTTTCTGAAATATTTCAGCTGGTTTTCACAGCTTTTTGAGTGTAACAGAAATCTTGTAAAAGTCCTGGAAACAAGTAGCTCTAAGAATTTAAACAGAATTACCAGCTCCTAGTTGTATAATTTTGTGGTTCAATTTTATCCTTGGCTCGATTTCTAATTAGGCTAGGTTTTGGGTATGGTAATCTATTAATAATTAATAATTTATTACTTCAAAAAAGAGGACAAAGTATTTATTGCTGCGGAGCGACCGAAGGGAGCGAGCAGCAACATAATCAGGATTTAAAGGAAATATATAAGGGGCGACGAATTCTCGAATTCATCACTTTTTACCACAATGCATTGCATTTAACCACACTTTTTACCACAATGCATTGCATTTAACCAGAGTGCATTGCGCCACGAACAACTCAAATAAAAACACGGGGAAGTTCGGTGGGTGAGAGAGTGCATCGTTCGCTGCTCAGACTTAGAGTATTCTTTGTGGCAAATTTTCTACAGCACGGTTAGAGGTCTTACCAAATTTTAAGACACGCAGGAGCCTTTCAGATGAGTACAATGGTTAACTTGGGGATTGGATTTCAATTCAAGAGCCTATGACTCGTCCAGGTGTTAAACCTGACGAGAAGATGAGCATTTGCTCTTCGACTCCACAACACGGGGGATATACAAATTCCAGTTTGCTAGAAGGTGATGTGAAAGTGAGAAAATGTCATGCAGTGCTATTCTTAAGAAACTGTATGAGCCGAAAATGGATGTGATTTTGACCATTCGCTTCAAAATAACAGCGGAAATCGAGATAACAAAACATATGTTTTGTGTCCTACTTTGCAGACGAGGACATGTATCGGCGTTTTGAAAAGCATAATTATGTTCTTTCATTCATTCATTCATTGCCATGGAATATGCGTGTACGTTGTTTTTTCACTGTTAATAGCTCGGTTAATGCGGCTGGCGATCATCGTGCTGGCAGAAGTTTCATGGAAAAGGAATAAAATAAAAGACTTTTCCTCAAAATTACGTAATCAGCCTCTGTGGTGTAGTGGTCAGGTGTAGTCACGTCAAGCCGAAAGTGCAGGGTTCGAGTCCTACCGAATTCTTAACCACTTTTTTCTTTTTTTTTTCCGTTTTTTGTGTTGTTGTTTTCTATAAATATATAGCTAAATAACTCTTTCTTAATAAAGTGCAACAAACAGCAAGAAAAGTATTGTGTTTCCAGAGAAAATTAATATTGTGCACCGCATATTAAATATATGGATAAACAATCTGAATTTCTATTATTTCCTACAATTTACTGTGGGAAAACCAGAGTTGATAACCACTTGATCATTTTCTAAACAACTTTCCCACGAGTTCTTTTTATAGACTGATAGTAATTATTCTAGTACTTTCCAACATGTAAATAGGACATTCAATGTCATTTTTGATTCTTATAAGCTCACTGCCTAACTAATGCCAGTATCAACAGAATGTGCCGCAGCATTACTATCTTTTAGATACCCTAGTTTTATTTACATGTAGACATTGAACCACAACATGTACATTAGTTATTGTATTCAAATCCGTTGGTACATTTTCTCCTCAGGTGGATTGTACAAAAGAGACTCCTCTCTGTGCAAAACAAAATATTCGAGCATATCCAACGTAAGTTGTAAGCAATACTTAACATAACTCTACTGAAAGCTCTGCTAGACAAATATGTACAAAATGTTAAAGTGTGTGTTAGCCCTTTCATAGAAAACCCTTGGCTGGCCCATATAATGTAAAGAGTGTTTGAGTGTTGCCTGTTTTGTTTCTTTTCAAAGGTTAAAGCTGTATTATGATCAAGGTGAAATCAAGAGATATAATGGCAAAAGACGTATGAATGATCTTAAAGCTTTTGTTGACAAATTTGCTGGGACATCTGAGGTACACGTGCACTGTGCATATCCGTACTCATATAATTGCAGGGGCAGATCCAGGAGTTTTTGATGAGGTGAAATGATACCAATTGGACATCAAACTATACGTTAATTTATTTTAAGTTGTCCTACGTTTTTCCTAAAACATGGTGATTTAGGAAGGACGAAGGCTGTTTGACTTCACAAGGTTTTTGGGACCTACGTATTTCCGTTTGCTTTTCTCTGTTCTTAAGGGGGCTTGCTAGCCACCCAATCCACCTCCCCTGAATCCGCTCCTGAATTGTATAGGTAGACATCCTCTTGCCATGGAGAAACGGCTTGTTTTCCCTCAGAATAACATATCTGATCATGATCTTTTTTATCTACATCTGTACCAGAAGGAGAGTGAGTCAGCAGACACAGCTGAAGCAGACAATGGCCTGTACACACTGACTTCAGAGAACTTTGACAAACATGTGGAAATTGGACTACATTTTATAAAGTTCTATGCACCTTGGTTTGTACAGTCAAGAATAAAGAATACTTTAGTTTTGCTTTCCTCTTTGCTTTGCTCTCTTTTTGCATCAATTCAGTGATTTTTTTTCTTGACTGTCTTTTTTTATCAGGTGTAGCCACTGTCGCAAGCTTGCACCCACATGGAAGGCATTGGCTGAATATCACAAAGACAATATGGACATCACAATTGCTAAGGTGCAGTAAAGTAACGCAGTTATGTCTATTTATTTATTTATTTTATTTTATTTATATGTTATAATTCACAAAGGTTTCCCATTACTATGAATGTGCAAAAAAAAAAGCATGATAAAGTAAAATGATGTATAAAATCAATGGAGGAGATTAAAAAAATTAGTAACAGCAGATTTAAACGCGTCCACGGAAGGCTGATCTAATAAAAAGGAAGGTAAAGTGTTCTGTTACAAAACATGGATTAGAAGGCGGGGAATTGCTCTGCTAGAAAGTCTTTTGGTGTTTTTTTTTTACTATGAAAGTATCCTGGAATCAGGCATATAATACCGGAATATCTTTGGCCCCTGGCTCTCAGTGACCGGTCACCTCATGTTTTATTTTGGTATAAAACCCACTTTTGCCATCTGCGTTCTTGGTTTATTATTTTTGATTTCTTACTTCAACTTTTTACATAATCACCCATAATTATAGCCAGGTCGCTAGATATTCTACCAATTTCTTCTTTTTATCACCGTAAGAAATACAAAGGAGCAACCTTGAGGGGGAAGGCATAGTTTGGAGGGTAATTAATTACAGCTGTATATGATTGGTTAATCGTATTTTATTTTCCCTTTGCTTCTAGGTAATTTGGTTTCCAGTCTTATCCAATCGAGTATCGTGACACGCACACGAAATAATTACTGTGGGCTGGCCAATACTAAGGAGCGCAGACATTGAAATGAACTAGCCTGAATTTCATCCGATTATTTCGAGTCGTTATTGCTCCCTCAGTAACGTCGTTGTTGAGAGGAGAAAACGACTCGAAGCAATCGGATGAATTTCAGGCTACAAATGAACCAGTCAAATTCAAGATAGATAGCCCTCGCCAAGCGCGGGAAAACGCTTATCAGCGAGTTATGTTTTTTTTGGATAAATTCTGATTAACTAAGAAAGGGTCGTAGGAGTAGCAACGCAAACTGTGCACACGTTTAACCACTTTTTTTAAATTTATTTTTTTTGTGTATTCTTCTTTCTTACAGATTGATTGCACAACTGAAGGGAAAAAGTGCACAGAACATAAGATTCATGCGTTTCCTTCACTTAAACTGTTTAAAGATGGCAGAGAGGTTAGTAGTGGCGTGACAATTTTAACCTGACTAAGCGTGCTCTAGACTGTAGCTTTCTATCAAAAATAGCGAGAACGTCCTTTTTTCAACAGAAATATCCTTGCTTTGTATGTCACATGTTCACACCAATAGCATTGCACCACGTTTCGATGTAATAAACCACACATATTCCACTTTATTATATGGAGGAGAGTGTTTTACTGGGAACTAAACCACTCGTAGATTTCATACGCCACTTCATCCGGGACCCGAGTGACGTATTTTCCGTATGTCACCTTTTTGAGTGTCTTATGCTCAATGACGTCAAGATTCCCGCCTTTTGCTTTTGTTGAATTGGTTTCTCCATATAATAAAAAGAACATTACACGTTGGCTCGAAGATATGAATTTTATGTTCTCGTGGCAAGAACAATATCTCACGAGTGAGCGAAGCGAACTCGTGAGATATTGTTCTTGCCACTCGAACATAAAATTCATATCTTCTCGCCACCGTGTAATATCCTCTATATCTTTTGATTCGCTCTGACGAAGGGCTAGTACTCGAACGTAGGCTTTTGTACATTATCCTATTGATTTACCTGAATAGTCCATTTTTCTAACTAAAATGCTCGATCTCCCTTTAAAAAGTTTCTATAATGCTTGAATAATGCTCGTCATAAAAACGATGTAAGGTCTGTAAAGTACAAGCGCGATATTTTTGTTTTAGGTGGACAGCTATGAAGGATCGCGTTCGCTTGACGACCTTAAGAACTACTTGACTTTGAAGATCTCTGAACACAGCTTGTTAAGCAGTGCAACGACGGAGAACAGCGAAACAGCTGAGGAGATACCTTCCGATGAACTAGACTTGCAGGTATACATGCAGACATGTATAAGGCTATGTTCACACTGTAACCGATACTCTTGCGCCCGCACGAAAACCGTACCGGATAGTGTTTCTGTTTACACAAAAGAGCGGTGATTTGGGCCCGATTTCTCTTACGGAACGAAGCTGCGCCGCACCCCACCGATCTCAAACGTGGAGCGTCACGTATTGGATAAGTTGTGTTCCACACTTTGGTGTCGTGTAAAAAGGTATTTGGACATGGCCGAAATGATTAAGTAGGAGCGAGGACTGGAATCCACTGAGACGGTTAGGACACTAGACCCTCACGGCCAACTGGTTCGGCACAAATGCGATGTGTGTGAACAACTTGTTCCAGTTCCGGTCTGTTGCTGTGTGTTGCTGCGGTATGGTGTGGACATAGCCTAACTTAAAAACTTTTATAATTTCAATCATTAATAACCTTACCATTTAAGAAAGTCTTTGGCTCATTATGCTCTGAGTTTATAGCGGAGAAAATGAATATCTTAGCTGTCGGCGGGATTCGAATCTAAGACCTCCCATACTTCGGTCGGTCCCTCCAACCACTGAGCCCACTATAGGATCGCAGACTATGTACTTTGTTCATATATGACGCACGTCCTGTCTAACTCCGTATGCTGTTAAGATCATCTGTGTCCAATGCGTCCTTCATGCTCCGCGAATATGCAAGACTTTTCATTAAGTTCTTCATGTTTCATTTCAGATCAAACCATTTCAGCTCACCGACAGTAATTTTGATTCTATGATCAGTTTTGGCACAATATTTGTCAAGTTTTACGCACCTTGGTAAGTCTGCTTTACCAGTGTTAACCCTGTTTTGCTTGCTATTTCCTTTAAAGAACATGTCCCCCATCTTTCAATCGAATTAAAAAAAAAGTTCACAGAGTTTAGACCTTTTAGCGTATATTAGTGCCACGTTAATTGTAAAGTGAAATGCTTACCAGATGGTCACACATTTTTTTCTTGTTGTCATGGTTACAGGTGCCGTCACTGCCGAGAACTTGAACCTGTTTGGGACCAGCTTGCTAACAAATGCGCAGATAGTTCATCTGGACCAAGAATTGCAAAGGTTTGTAATTAATTGTTAGAACGGAACTTTGAGAAGAGTATAAAGGCTGCTAGCTACATGAATACAAAAGGAATCTAAACTCGCGCTGAGGGCACATGAAAACGGAGATTTTTTTTCTCCGGTTAAGTATCCGGTGAAAATTGTCAGCGAAAGCGCATCTTTTTACAAATGCTATCTCCAGAGTGGAGATTTTTGAAAACGCCGTTTTCCTGTAGACTTAATGGGGAGCTTTGTCAACGACGACGGCGACGGCAGCGAAAACGTCACTGTTTAAAAGACTTCGCTGTTGGTCGCGATTTTTTCGACTGGCGTAAGACAAGGCTCAGTCGAATGTAGGTGAATTTCCCTGGAATTTAATTGTTGGGGACCGCCACCAAGTTTAGCGGGAGAAAGGGAAATTAATTTGCAGTCTTGTGTTTACGTCCACCATAAAACGTCACTTGAGGGAATTTCACGTCGCAGTCGTACAGTGACGGCAAAGAAATGTGCAAAAAAGTGTGCTGCACGTGCAAAGTTGTTGTTTTGCTAATATAAACTTATTTTTTTGCCGTTCTTGTTGCCATCGCCATCGTCGTGCTAAAGCTCCCTCGTGGATGGATGAAAACGGAAGCTTTTGAGAAAAATAACGTCACGGACAGAGAGACTATTATATGGGCATGTACCCATAAGGTTGTTGCTGTCAGTCGCTATGGCGTTTTCGTGTGGTCGGGCAAAAGCAGATCAAAAACGCCACGTGTAGACGCGGATTTATTTTTTTGAAAACTGAGAAAAAATCTCTGTTTTCAAGCAAAAACGGACATGTCTGAGCAGGGCCTCAAATTCATTTTGAATCATAAATCATATGCTCACATTAGAAACGTCAAAAAGCCAAGAAAGTACCCCGTACATAACGATCCGGTCAGTTACGCAGGCTAAAGCCAAGCGAAAAAAGGACGCGCGTGATCTAGGGAAGGAGAGCGGTGTTGTGTCTTCCCCGTGCGTTTTGCGCTTTAGTTTTCACCATCTCTGCACATTACTGTCTTGGAGCCTGGAACAGGCAAGATTCTCTCATGGTAGAAAATTTACTCTATCAGTTTAGTTGATAAAACCGTGTTTAGTAATTGTTCCTCAATCCCGATGTTCATGTGAAAAGGAGCGTAAAAACACTTATCTTCTTTACATTGAAAACGGCAAGCGACAGATGGGATGCTTAATTAACAGCGGGTTCTCAAACAACGATCGCATAGTCTGAAATGTTATCCTGGTCTTCGCTGCACTCAGCCGTCGGCAAGAGAGTCTCTCTCGCCTTGCCACCCGTTAGGGGTGGGGCGAAGTGACGGATGACATTTCAAACTAACGATCATACAACGCGGGAAGTAATAGAGCGTTTTCACATGACGTCACGGCAGCCATATTGGTGTTCCAAAACAATGAAACGGCGGCCATGTTGGTGTTCCAAACAAATCCTGTGGGAGTTGAACTCTTTTCTTTTCTTTCATAGATGCTGGTCACGTGAGTGAAAACGCTCTATAAATGCCGTGGTCACACCATCATCTCTTCTGCTTGCCATAAACGTGATGCTTAAAACGTTAAAAACTTAAAATTTCACAGAAATTAATACCCCCCTTTTTCCAGGTTGATTGCACGACAGAGGAGGAGCTTTGTAGCAGTATGGGAGTAAGTTACTTTCTTGTTTTTTAGTCGGCTAGGAATATACAGTATTTAGCGTAATACTTCGGCGCAAATCGGCTGATTTTTTGAATATGACGTCTCGTCTGTACCTTTTTTAAAATCGGGAAAAACGTTCACAATCAGCCATTTTTGCAGACTCAAAAGATGCGTTGCTCATCAATTTCCATTGTCGAGTAAGACGTATTAAGTAAATTTTTGAGGAGACTTCAAGTGTTGTTAGCACACATAAGCTAATATTACTGCGCGCGCGCGTGCGAAACCCTGCGCGGGTTTTGCGTAACGTAATAATATGATGGGCTTCTCAACTAACTTTTATTCTACATTTTTCTCTTTCAGATAAAAGGTTATCCTACACTGATTCTGTTTAGCAAAGGAGTTCAGAAGCAAGAATACAAGGGGCCCAGAGATTTAGACAGTTTGTATAACTTTGCTATGCAGCATCACGATGAATTGTAATTTTTATGCTTTATAACCAATAAGCCTGCGGTTCCTTGGTAATAATAATTTATAACGAGAAAGTTTCTATGTAGATATAATCAAATGCGCGATTAACCTTTCATAAAACAGATCAAGCATTCATATAAATAGTTAAATCTCAGCAACCAATCATATTCGAGACCCATTGTAAGGACGTTTCGTTTGCGCGGATTTTCTTGCCTTTCTGTTCTGATAAGTTTTTGATGGGAAATGATCTTTAGCCAATAGGAGTTATCGTAAACGTGTGTCACATGTGTTGCGTCGGGTCCTGCCGTATTTTCGCGTTATTTTACTTTGATGAAGGCCCGAGTTCCAGCCCCTTACCATTTTAAGTACCATTGTAAACTCCTCCATACATCTTTTTTTGTGTGTGTTATACAAGCAGTCAGAATACGCTGGGTACAGATCTGAATTGCCGTGCAAGAAAGCGCTGCGAGGCGCCGCGCAAATGAACGAACACATTGTCCAAAATTTTCCATAATCGTATTTATTGTTCTTATAGTGAAGTTCTCTGATTATCCTAATCAGGTTTTGTCTATGAAGTTTAAAACGTATAAGAAAATGGTAAAATACAAAGAAAGATAAGTTATTTCAAATAACATGACCTATAGTTATCGTGGTCGTCGTTACCCAAAGAAAGTTACAGCCTCAGTGGTTAAGAAACGTGATGTTAAACAAAACTGCAGCATTTCTTTATGGTTTCAACTAAACTTTTGTTTTACGAAGAGTAGATTGAGCGATTTCTTTGTTAATTAGTTCTTAGGTGGAATTTGGTCCTCCTTTCTATAGATCGTTTTCATATGACGTCATGGCGGCCATTTTGGAAACGAGAAGGAAGCTGGGTCGAGTTAACTTTGGCAAAGACTTCTGGGACTGTTAATACTAACAGGGATAAAATTGGCCAATAGCTGACCGGCGTGTCCCCCGTAACCATCCCACAAACCATTGCAGGGCGCCTTTCGGCTCCGGTTGCATTTTCGTTTCTTAAGTGGCGAATTTGTGTGCAAAACTGGACTGTCAATCGGCGACTAAAAAAATTTCCTTTTTTGCATAGCCAGCGATCACATGAATGAAAACGATCTTTTATTTTGCTCTGTAATTTGGCAGCTTTATAGTTGAGAAGGCGCATCAAACGTACAAAGGAGTGTTCCAGGGGTAGTTTATTTAAAAAAAATATAGTATTTAGTCAACAAAGTAAAAAAAAAACTCTTTTCCTCAAAACCTTGTCTTTAGAGTCAGTCAGCTTACCTACAACCGTCCCTCGCAACAGATTCTCACCAAGTCTTACTAATCAGCAAACCAACCGTCAACTGCTGTGTATAAAAAAAAACCTAAGTTCCCCATATACCTTCACCCAATAAGTCCACCTAAAAACTAACAGCGAAGAAAACTTAATTGCAGAATCCTTTAGTTTTGCTCTTTGATTGAACCAATCAGGTAACAACAAAACCCAAGTATACTCTCTTCGCAAGCGTTTGCCTTGTGATCTGATTGGTTAATTTAATTGCACGCAACGTGATTGGCCACAGCAATTGCTTTGGTTTGGTATTACGTCATTTCATAAAAACGGCTCTAAAAGAAATGCGACGAAGAAGTATTTACAGACTTTAGTGCTTTTTGTTCTGTTAAAGGAGTTATCGTGTTGATTAATTCTCCTGCAAACATCACGGAGTTTTAACAAACTATATACTCAGTTAGCGAACCAAGATATAAGTGGGACTAAACCAATTGTTTTTATCTTTGAATTTAATTATTCTAAATTTTCCATGTAAAACTATGCCATCGATATCATTCATATGCAAACAATCACATTTATACCAGAACCTTAAGATCTGACAACGGCAACGGTGACCTCCTTTGCCGTGTAAAGTAAAATCCCGCTCTCCTTAACCCTCGGGACCTCCCGACGATGACTCGTACCACAATGTTCCTTTTCTCAGTCCAAAATTACTTGGGGTATTGCTTTTAACATCTGCGCCCCCCGGTTGAGTATTTACCTTTTCTTCTTGCCCCTGGGAAATTCCATACTATTGCGTTTACCCTTGACAAATTCCACCACTTTTATAACGTACTCAGGCCCTGAGGAATTCCACCTGGTCTCAGCCCGGGGTTGTGCATATTAAATGCAATAGCCCAATTTGACCCAAAAAATTTCGAACCTCTCCAAAATTCCAGCCAATATCTCTTTTCCCAAGAGGTTAAAGGAGAATGGGATTCCACCGTGCTGTTGCATCGATGTTCAAAAAACTGTAAAAGTTCGCACAGTACAGCACAGCACAACACAGTGTTGGCTCTAAGATTTCTGGGATCGATTGAGCGACCAAGAAAAGCTGTGACTGATTAATATACAGTTGCTTGTGGAACCCATCGACCGGTCACCAGTACCGATTGTTACTTAAAGATTCTTCCCTAGGAGCTGAGATAAATTCTTCAAAACCACGTTTTCCGATGAAGAACTAGAACTGCGCAAACGATACGAATCTGAAATAGTGGGTTTTAAGGCTTCATGGGAACCTGAATAATAGGAATCCGTCTCAGTCACAGCACTTCCTGAATTTTCCAAAGGGAAGACAAAACCTTTACTAAGAGCGCTGCAAACCTCGGCCTGATCGCAGGCTAAAGTTTCACGACGCATTACGCAAAGCAAGGTGACAAGGCTATTTAATTTTGTCAATTGAGTAGAGACCCTGTAATTGAGCCACAATTAGTGACGCAGCCTCCCCTGCCGATGTCAGATCGCGACGTCTCTTAATTTTGCCCTCTGGCCATCACTCATGGAATATAATATGACCTAGCAGTTTCAATTTGAAAGTAAGCGCTGGTGTCAGAGCTGGAAGAAAATACGGAGAATGCAGTTTGAAAATAGATAAAGTGATGAAGATAAAAATGAACCCTGGGAATTAGGGTGGGCAAGCCGTTTTAAAAGAAAAATATTTTATTTCCGTGTACAGTCGAACCCTTATATGGCTGATTCAATAAAGGTTTCTTTGGGCATTGGAAAGCTATTGTTTGGTGGTCACTAAAGCAAATCATTGCATTGTTCAATATACCCAAATGCCCAATGTCTAATTACCAATGACCAATTATCAAAGCAACCTCTTTTGATGTAGCTGTATAACGGCCCTGTATTAAGCGGCCATCCTCTATTAAGCGGCCAGTTTTCAAAGTCCCGATTTTTCGCTTATACAAACGCTGTATTTGTTACCTGCTGTATTAGTCGGCAACCTCTATTAAGCAGCTGCGGCAACCCTGATGTAGCAGTCCTATTGTTTGTCTTTCTTTGTTAGACTGTGCGCTGCATAACAAAGTGTTTCTAAGAAAACAAGGAAGTATAGATAAATGAAAAAGCTTAAGGCAACATTTAATTTACACCAGGGGAAGGGACCCTAGGGTGATGTCCGCGCTGCTTGCTGTACCCAATCCTTTCGACATAGAGACAATGCAGATAAAAGCTTAGTCAACTCTTAACTTACTTTACACTTTCAGTTTCATACCACGGAAGATCTGGCCTCAAGTGAAGTATTTCGCACTGGTTATCGCTAGCGCCCCTGTCCGGGTACCCGGTCGTGATCGTTACGTTATGTTAATTCGGGCACACCCATTTAAGCGAAAGACTTGTTTACTGAAGTTGACTCCTCCAGCTTTGTTATTTCCTCACTGGATTTTAGGGCCTTCCTGTCGCCTTCCATCGTTTCCAAAAATACATTTTCCGGTAAGTAATTTTCTGATATAATAAGCGCTGTTTTACCAAGAGAATCACGAGATTCACGGCGTTGCATCCTGAACATTAGCTAACGTTCGGGATAACTTTTGTATCACTAGTGAAAGATGGAGAGTGAGTTTAAGTTTCAGTTTAAAAACAAAGTAAGGAGGCGTTAGAGAATCACTAGTCAAAAAAGACTGGATGTTATCCTTTATTGTCAACAGCAGGTAAGACAGGCAACAGTATCCAGATCAGGGGAGTTGTGGAGTACATAACTACCTCGAAATTCCGTTCGGGTACATAATTGCAAATTCTTACTCAAACCCAGATCTAAACTTAAAGGGAGTTATTGCCCGCCGATCTCTCAAAAGTAGTACTCAAATCCCTTTCTCGATGTCTATGCATTGGCAGTGTTACTAGCTTTAATACTCCCTTCAACTTAGAAGCACAATTGTTAATTGTTGTTAATTGCAATTGTTAATTTGTCTAAACTACGTGGCGTGCATCCCTCATCCCAGTGATATTTCCAATGTTCCAGGTCTGTTACGAATTTTATAACGCTAAAACCCCACAAGGAATTTTCCCAACCCCACTAGGCCTTTCGAATTCATTTCTTTCTGATTTACGAATTGTCGTTTAAAAGACTGTAAGATATTAGCGACCATCTATGATAGCTGCCATGTATTTGCTGTGGATAATGGCCCTCAGGTTAAACCAGAATTTCAGTCCTAAGTCTCCACTGAGTAATTACAGGGGCACCCAACGGCAATTTTCGGAAAATATCTGTTCGGAAGACGATTTGAGATCTTGCTTGCCTTCTTGCCTAGGATTTTCGAACATCTAAAGAGTGGTATAATTGCCCATTTTTAAGGGATTTTTACCCTAAAAAAGTAACGTAGAATTTTCAGGAGCCTTTTTTCTCGCTGAAATTTTCGAAAAGGTGAGTTTTGATCCCTATAATATTCAGATCACTGGACTTTCAGCTAGGAAATCCGAACGGATGAAAAATTTTTAGGGGATAAAAATATGCCTATATCTACCGTTTAAATACTTAAATACGTTGAACAATGCTATGTCTAGTTAATATATTGGTTTTGAACTATATTCTTGTTGGGTGCCCCTGTAATTAGGGTTAGAAAACGAAGGAAATTCTGGATCAAATTAGGTTGAATACTGTTTACCCTAGAAACAGACTTTACCTACAACATATGCCCTGACAACGGCGATAATTTGTACATTGTCTTTGGGAAAGCATATGGTGCGTCGGTCGGGACCAGAGAACGTCTAGTGTATCCCCGCTCTAATATAATTGACAAGTTTTTAGGAGGAACTGATCAAAAGGAATCCATGTTTCTACAAGATTTTTCTTTTCTGCACATCATTCGACAGGTTAATGTCAATTAAAATGACCAACTGGAACTCCTGAAAATTTTCTTTATAAACCTTAACGCTGCAAAGAAATTCATTTTCAAGCGGGTAGGTACAAATGCGGACCGGATCAACTCATATACGTACTTACAAGACAATAATACCCACTGTATTCAGTCAGAGACCTAAATTAGCTGATCTGATCCGAATTTTGTACGTTCCATTTTCATATAAACCGGTACTACGGGGAAGATCATTGGACTCACTTTTTTTTCTATTTCTCAGATTTGAAATGAAGCTGTCGTCACTGTTTGTCTTGGTGTCTTTTGTTGTGCAGAGGGCATGGACCCAGCTGTGTAACGTGAATTACGGCCCCTCTGGAGAGCTCTGGAGTTACTGAGTGCGTCCAGTTATCAGGATATTACGGCTACCAATGGGCAACCTGCCTCACTAATACATACATCCAGCAAAAAAGTAATAAGAAGCATATTTGTCGAAATATCTATGCAACATATTGCTGGTACCAGTGCATGGTTGAGCTGCATAGCAAAAATTTTGGAACAGTGACAGATGACTGCTCATGTGAACCTAGCAATACGACTCCCAAACCATACACTGGTATTCCTACTACATCACTGCCTCCAGAGTGCTACAGCCCGCCCGGAGATTCGTGTGATTGGTACCGAAACTGCTTGGAAAAGAAGTACCCATGTGAAGATACCAGCAATGCGTACGCTATCAAATACGCTGAGAAGTTTTGTCGATTATATGATGACCGATATTCCATATTCAGTTCGGAGGGACGGACATGGGTGGATGCTGTTCGTAAGTGTCTTCAAGTGTCCTTAGTACCTATACTGCGACCCTGGTATAAGCTGTCGTGTAAAGACATACGACAGAGGGCTTTTGCTTCACACACTCCATGCTACCTAAATCCAGATAAAGACGCACCATCCATCTGTGATCTGGGCTACAAAGATTTCCTTCAGATCTTCCTGACAATTAAAAGGTCTTTCATTCAGCTGGACACTTTGTGGGAATCATTGAAAGGAATGTGGAACGTAGGAACCGGATGTGCCGCTTCCTATGTCAAAGAGGCACTCACAAAGGCAGTGATCAAAATCAGCAAAATTCAGGTTGTGAAGAACCTCCTAAATCGGGATAAGCGATCGTTGTCCGACCCTCTTCCAGAAGCTGATGCTCGAAGTCGCTTCGCAGATCAAGTAGGTTCCGCTATCGCGAAAGCCTTGAAGTGGAATACTGATGTGATGGACTGGCTGGCCTACCCTGAGAATGTCACACATGCCGACGATCCAGATATTTCGAATATCATCATCGTGTTAGCCGACATAAAAGCCCTGGGCATCGTGAGCACCTTTATGCCGGACATCAACTTCAACCAGACTATCGAAGAATTTGCGTCAGCTGTTGCAAAAGGAACTCTTCCTTTGCAGGTAGATGGGCACAATGTGTGGGTAAAATCCTTGGCTTCTTGTTCCGACAAATCCTGTAACAGCACCCAGGTACTGGCGGTTTCAGACAAACCTCCCAAATGGAACAAGAATTCTGCTCATTTCGCCTTTTGTAACCTCGGGCTGTATGGATTCACAGCGACACTGGTCATTTTTCTGAATAAACTGTTCTTTTAGGTTGATACTATACTACACTAGTGATCACTAGTCTGCTGTGTGGAATAGGACGCTGTATAAGACAGTTACATTGTATGGGACACTTTGCATCGGTATTCAGACTAATGCAATTAGAAAACCGAAGGTTTCATGATCAGTATCTTTGATGTATTAAGCGATCATTTTGTTTTTTTTATTTTAACTCTGCAGAAGCGCTTATAACTAGTTGCAAGAAATTTCTCATAAAAAGCAGAAATTATGGTAAAATTTCCCGATATGGAAACCTGATTATAGCGAAAGGTGCGCTGTGCAGATTTCGTGTAATTGTGATAAACTAAGCTAAACTTTCTTTATGATGTGTAACCATTTCATTTATATGCACAAATAAAATGACCTGTAACGCATGACAGAATGTGTAACCGTAAGTTTTTATAAAAAGTCTTGATTAGCCTGTAAATTAAACAGAAATACATTCTGACTCCATGCACGAGACTTCTAGAGAGCAAAGGCATTTTGCCGTTATTACCTTGCATACCGCACAATATTGATAGGTATCCCTAAATTAAAACAGCTGGACATGGTCTCTTACTTTTTCCCAAGCGTTCCTCGTGATATGTTTTGAAGATCCAATTTTCACCAGCCGATTCATATAGCCATCAAAGATGCTAAAAGTTTAGTTCTTAACTGCATTCTTTGGTCTAAAAGGTTTTGTATGTGAGACAACAACATACTCGTCAGTTGGAATAGTAGCATCAGTTTCACGAACCCTGGATATTCCTTCCTGATGCATGGAAAGAGAAGGTTTGTCTCCCCACTAATTTATGAAAAACCCTCAATTGGTTTTATGTAGATGCCTCAAATCGGTCACAATTTTTAATTCAGTTAAGTTTAAGACTTCTCGACAGAAAACAATCAGGATGCCTGCCCGATTGAAAACGAATGTACAGAGTACGTTGTTTCCTTTATGGATAAACCATCTTAGTAATGTTTGCCATCTGCCATTTTATTTTGCTCACCCTTACTATTGCCATCCCCAGTAATCGGAATCACAACCATGAAAAACCGATATTGAAAAAAGGATCGAATTCCCTTTTCAAAAGTAGGCGGTGGCGAGTGTTGCCCTGAGGAATGTTGCTGATAGTTACTGAGGTTTCGATAACCTGTGTGGCGAGCTTAGTCAAAGTGAATTGTGTGTCGTCAGTTGATAGTATCATTAACTGGACTCCGGTTATTGACCTGATTGTCTCTAATGTCGACCGTCCATTAGGCGTTGCAAAGTGATAGTTAAGCCAACTAAAAGAGCCTAAGATCTCTCCATAAATCTGCTCTGGTGTGCAAAACTGTGAAACGGCGGCCTACTTAGTTTGGTGACCAAGAAATTCCACTGGGAATTGAACTCTTTTCTCATGTAGAAACGTTCCATTGTTCCGAGAAATTTGCATAGCCACTGATCACGTGAGTGCAAACGATCTATAATTTTACTTTGTAATTTGGCAGCTTTAAAGTTCAGAAGGCGCATCGAACATACAAAGTAGTGTTCGGGGAGTAGTTTGTTCAATATTATAGTATTTAGTCAACAAAACAAAACAAAAACACTTGCATTCAAAACCTTGTCTTTATTTTCTCAGTCAGATTTCTTACAACCGTCCCTCGCAACAGATTCTCTCCAGGTCTTACTAATCAGCAAACCAACTGTCAACCGCTGTGTATAGAAAAAAAACCTAAGTTCCCCATATACCTTCACCTGATAAGTCAACTTAAAAACTAACAACGAAGAAAAATACAAATATACCTATTCCTCCTATCTCAACGTACAACAAAAAAAACTTAAGCCCACTAGCGATACCCTAGTAAAAGCTCAATGGTATAGGACTAACAAGAAAAGATGCCCCTTTCATACTGGTGAATAAATTTGTTTACAATAAGATAGCGGAAAAAGGCTAGTCTCATGCACTGAGACAACACGAATGACTCAGACCGGGTCTTGCCGGAAATCATAAAAATTGTTCCTAATGATAGCTAATATATTTCTGTAAGCATAAACTACTGGACCCAATGCTGCACCTTTATTGAAGGACAATATAAAACTTTGAATTGTCGATTGCTTTAGTTTTGCTTTGTGATTGGCTGAGGATTTTCGTGTCACCTTCTGGACCAATCGGGAAACAACAAAACCAAAGTGTACTTTCTTCACATGCGCTTGCCTCGGGGTCTGATTGGGTAATTAAATAGCCCACGTGCGATATATTAAAATTCTAACATGACTCCGAGGCTTTCTGGTAAGTCTCTTCTGGGAATTGCGAGACAGTAGAGTCGTGAAAAATTTGCAATTTGGACCCTAAGACTTCGAATTCGTATAGGTAATAGCATGATTTGTAGTGAGATTTGGCATAAATACCACGAGTTATATTTCAAAATTGTTATACGTAATTTTGAAATATCACGAGTGGTATTTATGTCAAATACCACGTACAAATCCTGCTATTATTTGTTTATACTACTATCCGCAAAAGGTTTGTAATTTTCACGTGTAGGTATTTCAAATTAAGCTGAAATACCACTGCTCTAAGCCAATCAAATTGCAGAAACTTCTCCTGTAGTAGTATAAATGGTAGAATTTTGGATATATCGAACGTGGGCTATTGCATGCACCGTGATTGGCCACAGTAATTGCTTTGGTTTGGTGTTGCGTCACTCAACAAAAACGGCTCTAAAAACAAACGAAGAAGTATTTACAGACAAGTTGATTTAGTGCCATTTGTTCTGTTCAACTCTTTGAGCCCCGATACCAACTAACAAATTCTCCACATTTATCTCCATACTTACTTTGAGTTAATTGAGAGAATTAGTTAGTGATCATTTTTAAATTCTCATAACCTTTTTTTAAATGACATATTGATATCGTCAGGAGAAAATTGCTGTTGGTCACTTTCAGGGCTTAAGGGGTTGAGGAATTACCCTACTAACTACTTCATAGTTAATTAACAATTATTCCTCGATTCCGAATGGGCTCTGGGTCAATAGCCCATGAAGGCCTCATGGGCTATTGACTTCGAGGCCATGAGGGCGTGGGGAATAACTGTTTTAGTGAAATCCAACTAGTTGGTCAAAAATATCGAGACAAAACAACTTAAGCTAGTTAAAGTTAGACTTTAATCCCTTTTTGCCGCCAAAAATCCGGCGCTTTTCGCTACTAGTGGGCTATAACATTTAGCCTAGTTGTAGCTCAACCAATCAGAATGCAGCATTGACAATAGACCACTAGTTGGATTTTACTAACGTTAGTACTCAATTTGCAATCCAAGACATAACTGGTACTCGACCAAATATCAAGTCTTTAAATTTAAATATTTCAAATATTCCATGTAAAACTATGCCATCGATATCATTCAGATATGAAAGCGATCAAATTTATACCAGAACCTTAAGATCTGACAACGGCAACGGTGACCTCCTTTGCCTTCCTTTCCCCAGTCTAACACTACAATAGGCTATTGCATTTAATAGCTGAGATCGTTATACGTTTCTGGGAAACTGCCCACCTACCCCGCCCCTAAGCCAACATTAATACTTACTTTTCACTTAGGCAAAAATGTTGACTTAGGGGAGGGGTAGGTGGGCAATTTCCCAGAGACGTTAAATTATGATCCAATAGCTGCACCCCCGGGATGAGTATTTACCGTTTTTTCTTACCCGTGGGAACTTCCATCATGTTGCATTTACCCCTGACGGGTCCCAAAACCTTTATAACTTACCCCTGAGGAATTCCACCTGGTCTCAACCCGGATGTTGTGCATACTAATTAAATGCAATAGCCTTATTTTCCCCCTAGTATTTCGAACCTTTTGATAATTCGAACAAATACCTCTTTTCCCAGGAGCGTTAAGAAAAGTGGGATTTCACTGTGCTGCTGTATCGGCTTAAAAAAATGGAAAAATTCCCACACTACCAAAGGAATTTGCCTTTCCGGAAGTAAATCGGGAGAGACTAAGCCACAAAGTTGGCACTAAGATTTCTGGGATCGATAGGGCGACAAATAACTGAAAAGATGTGGCCGGTTAATATACATGTGCCTATGGAAACCACTAACTAGTCAATTGAATCGCAGTCTTCCTGAAGAGCTGCGACTGACATAACGCTTGCAAATGATGTTTTCCGATGAAGACCTGGACCTGCGCAAAAGATATGTTGCATATATGAGTCTGAAATATTGGGTGGACAAGGTACGGGAGACTTAATTTTCAAAAATCCATTGAAAAAATTTCCTGATTTTTCTAATAGGAAGGGAAAACCTTTTACCAAGTGCGCCGCAAAACGTCGGTCAGATAAAGCTAGTTTAATTCTTGCGCAAAGCAGGGTGACAGGGCCATCTGTAATTGAGCTGCAAATTAGTGATACCGTCTCCCCTGCCGAGCTCAGATCGCGAGGTCTTTTGTTTCCTGGCCCTCTCATCACCCGCAGAATAAAATGGGAATAGTCAATTGATCATACTAGGAAAGATTTCTGTTAATGAGTTGTGATCTGGTAGAAAAATAAAATAAGACTTAGTACAAAGTACAGACACCCAAGAGGTCCTGTCAGGGGAGGTGTACCGAGTTCCCTCCGTCTTATGTGAATATTTCATCATCGTCGTCGTAAATGGAGAGAAATCGCAGGAAGATTGTTATGATTTCATTTAACGTGGTTTAGTTGCTCTTTGGTGCCATGTAGATTGTCGAATTTCGCCCTGGCAGGACCTTAATGAAATCTTGTACTGTTTGCACAGGTCTAATCTCAGACGTGGGCGTCTCGATGCGCCAGTTATTGATGAGGGGAATCGAGACACCCCCAGCTGAAGACTGAGCCTAGTCTAACCTGCGATTCAGTCAAATCTAGTAAATCATTGTTCAGAGCTAATTAGATCCCCACTATTCGTTCTGGTCGAAACTGACCGGCAGAGACCTTTTACTCAGACGAACTCACAGGCAGGACATTTTGCTAATTTGTTAAAGACTAAGAACAAAAACTTTAAAAGATATCCGGACATGATTTCCAATCCCTGTTCCAGTAGGTTCCAGTGAAAAGCCAGTCCATCTGACCGGTGTAAGGATTCATGTCCTCTTTAAACCATCTAGAATGAAACAAGGTACACTGCTGAATGATGATAAAGCAGGTTTACATGCGCAATACAAGCATTGCTGGTTGGCACATGAATTCAAGGAAGCTTTGCAGGAAGTCTGGAGCAACGAAGCTCTTGGAAACCCTTGTTTTGATAGGAGAATTGCATGTGCAAGAAGACTGCGTACGAATCCGTATGTTATGGAACAAAAAAAACAAGACCCACAGTGTCAGAAAGAGTACACCGAGCTCTTGTACCATTTGATTTTCTGCTAAGAATTAAGGAATTTTCCGCCAGATGGCCCCACAATGTCCAAGCATCAAAGTACTGAGTTTAAAACAAATTTTACCACGTAAAAGAACTGCTGCCGAGGTTTCAGTTGAAAGGTAAGACCTTAAATCGACGCCGGCAACAGAAGAGTTTAAGAAAAAAAGGAACGAACTATTACCTTGGGATCCAGTGCTCATTTTTCTTTTGTCTTTCTCTTTTAGCCGCACGTTGCTTTTCTTCGACTCGAATTTTTTCTTGAGTAGCTTTATCTGTGGATATAAAATAACAATCAATATGGAAAACGCTTATCCAGGATTAGCAGCAACAATTTTTTTTCTTTTCAAGTTACTCTTCAACTACGTTACGAGCCCGCCATATCCACTTTCCGAAGTTCCCAAACGTTATTTTCTTTACAACTCCCCACTCCAGAAACTATATATGGGGGAATGGGTACAAGCTTCCGGCACAACGATTTCTGGGGCCGTTAGAGTGAATAAGCCTTACTTACTAGTAATAACCAAAGGTTAGGGAAGCGGGCGACAACGATCGAAGGTAAAAACGCCTTTGCCCTAACGCTGTGCTTTGCGTAAGTTTTACATGACAGATGGTCAAAAAGTGAGTGATCGGTTTACGAGGGTAGAAAGTCCGAACGCGTGTGATCAAATTGCGTTCTGTGCATTCCATTCATTCTTAGTTAAAGTCCAAACGAATGCTGGCTACATACATGCGACGCATGTGTAATAACAACCTGGAGATTAGCATTAAGGGCTCCTCTTGTCGCCCGCAATCAGTGATTGGTTAATAGTTGCCTGGGATACCATCGACCAATCATAACTAACGCTTGTCCACCCCAACGATCCTGGAAACCACTGCACTCAAAGCTTGTACTCATTCTCCCTAAAGTTTCTGACGAAGTTTACTAACCTGTGAGAAGAGGTTTCTTGAAGGAATGGCTATTAGCATGTGTGGTGTCGTTCGTGTCGCTGTTATTCGCGTAAATGGTTTGTTTTTTTGCGAATGGCATTGACGCGAACGACTTAAAACCACGCCGGAATGAAACCTCTGTTAGAAGGGTACAATTTTTATCCCTGCAACAACTTACCTAAGTCACCATTTTCTAGTGCTCGACAGTCGGGTCTGAGCCTTGAATCCGTGGGTGGTAACTATGAAAAAAGATTGAAACGAAAACGTTTAATAATAATAAAAGTAATAAGAAAAAATATGCATTCAGTCAAAGCACTCTTTACAAGTCATTTTATTTCATAAGCTCCTGTTCATTTCGATTAAAAAAAAATTCATTTCCATTAAAAACAATTCATTTCGATTAAAAATGAAATAAAAATATTAAAAAGATCCTAAAATACTAATAGCATTTAAGCAGCAGTCATCAATGAAATCCCCTTGTGGAATTTTGTGGAAGGGTGACCTTGAACCTCTTACGCATGTGTGTACGGACCTTAAAAACTCAAAAGAAAGCAACGTTCTAATCCAAGTAATAGCAATGTGATAAGGTTCCTCATTCTTTTCTGATAATAATAATAATAATAATAGTAATAATAATCATCATCATCATCATCATCATCATCATAACGTTTAAAACACTATTCAGTAAATACCCCTTCAAGAGACCCTTCTTACCCAGCACCTTTGAAAAGGGAAAAATTAGGATATAATTCGATTCCTTTTCCTGTGGTTTTACTTGCATGATGCACAAGTGCAAAAGTACCCTGCGAGTCAGCTCTCAATGTGGAGGAATATCGCGAAAAGTCACAGACAAGCGGCACGCGAAAGAAGGCAAGAAAGTGCGAGGCGCCATTACGGCGACGCGCGTTTTCTTGCAGCTCTCCTTTCCATGTGATTTCGAACTTCAGAATAAAGCTAAGGAAAATGCATACGGGTGGAAATACCCTTTTGCTGATTGAAGTAAGTTGTCTGTCCGTTCTCATAGATTAACGTATGCCTTACCAAGGGCTGTTGGTCTTCATGAAGTTCATTCAGCTGCATGGCGTAGGTAGTGAAATTATACATCTAAACGAAATAAAATATGGCACGTGACCCTCAGACGTACAGGCAAAGGCATACTGGAGAGATTAAGATTCACGTTTACCATAAACGGTAAACGTCAGACTCAAACTGAGAATTTCTCAGAATAGAAAATAAGCAGATAAAAACAGTCCCGAACGATTCCTGTGGTTGAAACTGGCATAAAACTACTTATTTTTGCGTAGAAGCAATAAAGAGTAAGCGGAAAATATGGGGAAAACTTGGTCACGAGGTACAAATTCACGTCTGCCGTTTGGCGTAAACGTGAATCTTAATGTCTCAACGATCACTTCTCTAAACTGACGGAAAGTAAAATGGGCCCCTTATGAGGGGGACCTTCGTCTACTGACAAGTCTAACACGCACTACTACGCCATCTACACAACTCCGTCTATTGTTAGAAACAGTAGTCCCATTTACTACGAGGCACGACCTGAAATCTCCAATATCACTTAGGTGCACAAGGAGCCTAGTTCGAGTTCTATTCCCCCAGGCCTCCCCTCTGGTTTCTTTTCCACACCACTCCCACTGCCTCGTGTTTTCAGCTTGTCTCCCATGACAGCTCCAGAGAGAGGTTACACGGCCCACATTAAAACTGCTGCAACTCTTTTAACGGTCAAAACCACTCCCCACCCCTCTCTTCACAAAATGGTGTTTCTATCTACACACCCCCTCCTCCCCGCTAACCTGTTTACTATGGGGTGGCCTCTCTTGAAAGCTCCAGAGATCCGTGGGAGTGGAAGTATCCACAGTAACACTGCCGTCACTGCTTCCACTACTAAAACTATTAAGAGAAACTGCGGATGAGTTACTGCTCCCTTCACTCGTGTCTGATCGCCGCCGTTTGCTTTCTCTCTTGGAATCTTTCCTTGTGAATTTATCCACGGTGAAACATTGGATGTCCTTCGTCCAGTCTCCTCTCAAGATGAATCGCTTTCGCTTGCTGTGGTAAAGGAGAGAAGAGTCAGAGTTTTTATGATACTGTAGGTAGGTGTTTCGCACAAGAGCGGCAGGAAGTAATACCCTCTCAAGCATGAGACGCAGTGTTTCATTAACGGTTTTAAAGACCGTTTAGGCTAAAATTTACCAGCCAGGTCCCCTCTATACAAGAACCTGTTAAACCTAAAATTGGAAACAGGTTCTTATATTAAAAACCTATAAAAAAAAATTCTGTACACTTGGGTCAACATCCAGGAACGTCTTTGGAGACGTGGGTGCTTTATCACTCCAACTGAAATGTATTGGTTTGCAGATTTTATACAAGAAATAAGCTACAAGTACTCTTAGGTACTTCGTAAACTTTTCCTTCAGAAAATAAGAACCTATTTAAGAACCTAAATAGCCTAAAAGTGGGCAAATTACCATTAATATAAGAATCTGTTCAGGCTGATTTTGAAAAATGCAGGTTCTTACTCGCAGGTTGTTACAGTGTTTCAAAAAATTGATAAAAAAACAGATCCGTTCTCCAACCTGACCCTTTTATGTCGCCTTTTGGACACCTAAAATTATAGGGAGCTGGGGTGCATCTCAAAAATCTTAATACTTCACAGAGAGTATCATTTGACCGTCTTTTGCCCAAATATCATCAAGTTGAACAAGCATTTAAACTTACTCGGCAGAAAAGATGGAACCTTCTACTTTGTTGAGTTCTCTTCCAAACCAGCCACCCGGCTTGAAATGTAGCACGCTGTAATCTCCTGTTGTGTGATTTGTTATCTCTATTTGACCATACTGAAGTGGAAGAGAAGCAAGACACTTTAGAGAAAGGAACAGTTCCCCTGAAAGTTTGCTGGGAACAAATCGCTGAGGTTGTCTGAAACTCACTACGAGACAATCAACCTCTGTAAGGCGGATGTTTTTCAAATGGGTGTGCCAGAGGTCACGGGGGATACAGTGGAGTTCAAACCTCCCGCCTCCCGCCCTTATTCTTGGCTTCCTCTCTTTATCCCTTTTTTGACTGCCAAATATTAACTATTACTGTTGCGAAATTCCCCTCATTTCTCCCGCTTGCGACCTTTTAGACTCTTATCTCCTGCTATTTTCCCCTTCCGACCCCTAACCCTCCCGTCCCCCATTATACGGGGCTCCCCCACCACCCCCCCCCGCACCAATATCACTTACTTGCTCGATCCAGAGTTGTCCAACAATTATGTTATGTACACAGCTATTCACATTGTTCCACGTGTAGACCTCATTGTGTCTAAGGGACAAAAGAATAAAAAAGTTGTCGCAGCCGTCTAAAATCTCTTCGTCACATGGCAATTTTCTGGATCAACTGCTGGAATAAGCGAGGACTTGAGGACTCACAACAGTTACTGTAATTGTTAGGACTGAATTGACAATAGTAGTATTGGATTACGTCCTTGAAATACGTATTGAAGTAAGTTAGTGTTTTTGCATTTAGTTGATAATGAAAGGTAATGAACTTGAACTCTGGATAGCTTCTTTAACAACATGCACCAGGTGTCCGCTGAATAGGGGTTCGTTATAAAGGGGAATATCAGACGTTCGCTTCGGGGCCCAGCATAGTGTCCGCTTAATAGAGGGTGTCCGCTTAATTGGGGGTCCGCTTAATAGAGGTTTCACTGTAGTTGTAAAAATCAGTAAGCGACAAGGAAAGGGAAAAGTTGGTCACGTGGTACAAACTCACGTTTGCCGTTTGCCGTAGGCGCGACTCTAAATCTCTCAATTTTCTTTACTTCTTTTCGTTACCTAGAATTTTAAACAAGAAGTATTCTCTTCTTCTTTAAAAACACCTCAAAGCCAACATCCCTGCATACGTTTGTGGCTGTTCAATCAAACACTCACACTTACTTTGGAAACTTGAGCGTAATCATTCCCTTGGGTTGAATCTCGACTCCTTTTCCCCAGAATTTCAACTTAGGTTGAACAGTGACGTGAAACACAAATCCATCGGCCTCCACTTGTATGGCACTCACTGGAGGGTGATGACTGACCTAAAGTGAAAGAAACTACTGTAATGCTGCAACGTTTCCGTTGAAAAAACAGTTGTATAGGATTAATCATGCCCCCTCCGGACAAAGATACATGCATTTAAATTTACTTAAATTTATAACCTCCCTCTTGACGTAAAATGTTCCCAGTTTTTGGCCCAAAGGGTTGAAAAGGTCGATTTTATCATATTTTGATAGTTTTAAATTCCAGCACTATCGAACCTCTACAAACAGTTGGAATTAATTCTATGGGTGCTTCATTTATCTTAGGAAAACGAATTTTACAACAAGTTAAAGGTTCGTTCTGAATCAGAAAAAAAACCTAACTGAGCGAAAATTTATCTTATGGCAGAATAAAACACATGGACTTGAGAGTTATCTGATTGTTAAAAAGGATTTCACCAACCTGTTCTGCAATTAGCTTGAAACCCAAATCTTCCCTAAAAAAAGCAACAACAACAATATAATGATTCATGGGTCGACAGGTCAGAATTTTAGGAGAAATAGGAAAATAAAAGGCAAATTTCTCAATACTCACCGAACTAGTTCATAGGTCTCCCCAAGCAGTGGATTAAAGGGTTTTCCTACTCTATCTAGATTAGACGCAGTGGCTGATATAGCAAATGCACAGACGTACTAAAAAAATAATAAAAAAATAATGTGAGAAAATTCACTACTTTCCTTTGGTACTGTCTATTTAGCTTGCTCCCAATGTATCGGTCTTCATAGCTCACTTGGTAGGGCACTGCAGCGCTAACGCAAAGGCCATGGGTTCGAACCCCGTTGAAGTCTGGAATTTTTGGGAGGGGCGGGGGGGGGGATTTGCTTTTGCTTAAATTGCAATTACCACTGCGACGATCATATCTTCACTTAAAATTCACTAAGTTTTTTTTTCTTAACAAAATTACGTGCTAACAAGTAAGAACCAATTACCTGCATGCGAAGAAGCTGATCATCTAGACTGGCTGCAGTATGGAGCAGGTAGACATACTCCATGTACTCTGCCACGCGCTGAAGAAACGTTAACGGCTCATTGAAAATAACTGAAAGTTAGAGAACGGTGGGCTTTAAGTACGCGGCCACATACATGTATGGTACAGCTCACATTTTTTTGCAAATTAAATTATAAATGGCATCCAAAAAAATTCATCCACTCAGGAAAGCCGAAATATTTGACACATCAGCTAGTGGTGAAACGATTAATAGAATTCTCGATTAATCGCGATTATGACCGTTCCGTTCACGGAACTTCACGATTCTTTGCTTCTACGTTTCGATTTTTGCACACCTTTTCCAGAGTGCCCTTGGTGAGTTATTATATTGTAAAATTGGAATCCAGAACGTTTTAAATTGTGAATTGAAGATGGACGAGCAAATACGATAGCATTTCGTGCGCCATTTTGTGTTGCCCGGTAAAAATGCTGTCCTTAAACCACCCCTTGAGAATTTCCAAATAAGACAAACTATGTGCGACACGCTCTTTGTCAGGTTCTCAAACATGGCGACGAACCAAGCGACTGTGAATCCTCCTGTCCCTGCTACTATTCTCAAATTGAGGGTTTAGGGTTGCATGTTGTTTACATTATGCGTTATGTTATAAGAATTAAGAAACATTTACAAAATCGAATCGAAATAATCGAAATCGAAAGGCAATAATCGAAATCGCAAGGAATATGAATCGTTACACCCCTAACATCAGCATGCCCGAAAGATATCATAAGTAACACAACGTACAGATAGGATCTCGGGTTTTAACGTAAACTGAACTTAACTTTCAACTGAGGACTGGAGTGAAACAATGAAACCATGTATTTTTGTATCTGTTCACGAAGCGGCGGAATATTGTACTACCGACAGAACTGTTAATACTCACCTGGCATTGCAATTCTAGACAAATCCTGGAAAAAGGAAAAAAACAAAGTGAACTATTAAAATAATGGCAAAGTACTTCTTACAGAGGTCAGGCGAGGAGGGTAAGATTCAAGGCTCTGTATATATCATACGGTGCCTTTCTATGACTGAGACGTGCAAGTGAAGCCTTGACGCGACCATATCAATGACTGCCTCTCGGGTCTCGCTTTAAGTCTCCTGGAGCGACTGGGGATTGAGCTCTTCTTATAGAGATATTTCAAGAAACAGATCTAACTATTAACTGATCATTTCAAAATCGAAAGCGACCATAGCCTTTTGATGGTGTTCAACAGAACTAGGCAGGAAGAAAAGCGTTCTAAATTTAGGTGCTCTTTTTTTAAGGACAAAAAAGGTCATGTTTAAGATTATACTGCTTGAACGCTGCTGCGCATGGAATATAGCGCTAAAATACCTTTCCTATACATTGACGCAGGACTGTCCAGACACTAAACTCGTTTCTTGAAAGCATAGCCACAGGAAGAGCAGTTCTAGGAAGAAAAAGAAGAGGATCAACTCAAACCTACAATCATCGTCAACAGTATTGGGAAGGCTGCTACTTTTTACCTCTTTTTTTCTTGTTTCCTTCACCCCTAGCTCAATGTTGAGTAAAACTTGAGTGTTTGTGCCGGTAATTTTCCTGTTATATCCCAACATTGAATAGCGGAGACGAGGGTAATTAGCAAAAGAGAAAACAGTCAGTTTTGAAAGTTAAAATGGACTACTATTAACAACCTTTCCAACAACTTTTATCCGAAATTGTAGCATAATATGAGAACTCCAACCTTTCCAGTAAAATCTCGGATTGGCAGGAAAAGGGGTGGAAAAAAAAAAACATGGTAATGTTGTGGCTAAAAACTCCTACCTGTAGCGCACTATTCCCTGCGCTTGCTTCTCTGCTGCTTGTTTCCTATACTGCGCTGCAGTCTGTTCCATATCACTAGAAGCCGACTTGACTTTCAACAAACTACCGGTATCACAATCCAGTAAAGTTCTAACGTCCGATTTTGAAGCAATATCAGTATCCGACGTGCTACGCATTAAAGAAAGTCTGTTTAAGTTCCCTAATTGTCCACCAGATTTCGCTCTTTTCATACTAATACTAGGCTCCGCAACGGCTTCCAAATGATTCCTATGAGTTTCGTCATTGGCCACGATGGGTGCAGCCTCGCACGGCACGTAGTCGTCACCGTCATCGCTGTCATCGTCCGAGAGCAAGTCGACGTCTAGAGGAGCGCATCCGATGTCGGACCTGGCATCGAAGAACTCCTCGTTGCAGTCGCTTGTCAGTGTCATGCGACTTCCGTGGATATACTAGGGGGAAAAACATAATTATCAGTGCAATAGATAAGTTAAGGCGCAGTCAAGACCCTTAGGCCATCTGATTCATTAGCCTGGAACAACTACATGCAGCAGTGCAAATAAAGGTTATCAATAACCGATTCAAACTGGCGAGTAGGCAGTGAGCAGTGAATCTACGAACACAAGTCAATTGTTGAACCAACGAAATAATGTTAGTACAGAGAATATATGGCAATACAATGTATTTGCGATTCCGTCGTGTACAATGCGCACTGCGTCATGGAATGAGTCCGACCACGTTTTTGTTTTGTCCAATCAATACGGCGACTTAAACCGTCGGCCCATGCCGTTTCAAGAAAGAGCTACAGTACCAATCCACCATGTCTACCGGCAATGTCTCGCTGGTGCAAATTTATACACCGGACTAGAGAGAAACAAAATCAAGCAAACTGTTTTTGACTCAATGATACCGTAAATTGAAAGACAACATTTTTCTTCAAACTGTTTAAATCTATCGCACTTTTTGCCGCCCTTTTCGCAGAATCAGAACCGCAGTGTCAAGACAGTCCTTACATAATTTTCAATAACAGAAAGGCGAGTAATTTTTCGAGGGATCGCGAAGGGGAGCCTGAATGTCGGGAGACAGTCAGTTAGATGATACTCAAGCGCGCAATAAAATAATTAAGGACTGTGTAATGTCGTTAGGGTTCGAACATTTGACTTTTAAGAAGGTGGGGGGGGGGGGGGTAGGGAGGTTTGGGTCGGGGTAAGAACTCAGGGGAAAAAGGAATGAGTAAAATCGAGCCCTTATGAAAATGCAAAAAGGGTCAATAAAAATCAATACCATATTCCCCTTTATAAGAATGTACCAAAAGGTAAATTTTCTAAAACCATTAATTATATAAGGCCATAATGTGTTCGGGCAAGGGAGAGGGGTGCCTAGATATTGGAGAGAGAGAGATTTATAGTAACCTGAGCGCGAAAAAAAAAAAATAATGTGTGGGTTTTTTTGGTTGGGTTGATAAATTTTTTGTTTAAAGAGGGGGGGGGGGGGGGGGTATGGATGATTTGGTCTGGGTAAGAACTCAGCAGCAAAAGGAATGAGTAAAATCGAGCACTTATGAAAATGCAAAAAGGGTCAATTAACAGTCATACCGTATCTCCCTTTATATGAATGTACCAAAAGGCTAATCTTCTCAAAACACTAATTATAATAGGCCACTTCCTAAGTGTACAACCTTTCTTGTGAAAATGAGTTTTATTTGCATGAGAATGAAAAATCATTTCCTTATCAAAGGCTGAGCACTTTACCTCGTTTTGATACAGAGGCCAGGGGGAACTCGGAAATGGCCGATTGTGAGATTCTTTGATTTTTGGGGAATCTCTCTTTTACCTCGTGAGCTCCAATGGAACACTCTAAGGCGTGGTGCTCTGTGGCAAGCACATGTAGTGCATCTTCAAGAACTCGCCGCTTCTCCACCTCTTCTTCAAATCTAAGATCTCGCACCTGAAAACAAAAGCGGAACAGAATTTGCAAACTGAAACACTTTTTTGCAGAACCTGCGCATGGTTTACGTGAAGCATGCTTCTGTTTAACGTACAGGACGTCAGCTGAGATACTTATAGTAATACCAAAAGCAAGTATCACGAGGGTTACGTTTGCTTTCTCGCTCTGTTTCCCTTCGGAGCGTTTTGTTCTAAAGACAAATAACTTAGTAAAATGCTTCAGAATTTAGTGACAAAGGCAATAGAAACGGAAACAGAAGGGGTTACAAGAGAAGTTTTGGGGAAGGAAAAAAAGTAAAAAAAAAAAGAAAAAGAAATATAAAGGAAATCTCGTGCCTTACAAGATGGGTATTCAAAGGCCAATAAAAATAGAGGTTTCTGAGAGCTTCGCGGCTCAAAGAATCTATAATTCAAGAAATGAAGTTTTTTCAGATTCAACTTACCTCTTCCTGCTGCGAGAGAAGATCTAAGCAGTGAGTGAGCGCGTTACACATGTTCCTTGCAGTGGCTACTACCTCGTTCAGTTTTTCACTGATCTTCAGTAAACTCCCTGTAGCAAAAACACGCAACATGATGACTACGAAAATGATTAAGATGACTGAAGTGCATCTCCTGTATATTATGGAAAGTAATTCATTTTCTTTGAATTAACATAGCTACAAGACGCCTGTCGTTGACTGTACATGTCACGCACTACTTATTCAAGAAGTCAAAAAAGCAAAAACCAGGTCAGCGAGTGGAAGCTGAGGCTGCCTTGTGTTCTTTGTAAAGTTCAGTGGACTCATTCCCTAGATCTGCCAATGATATCACGAGAATCAGCAGGGCGCGAAAAAAGTTTGAATTCCAGCTTGTCTAGCTTTATCCTATGGGCAAGTAGCCTGTTCGAAGCTCCGAGATAGTATCTGAGAGCCTGAACAACGTTAGAACAGGCTATTGGGAAAGCATCTCTCACATTTTGCCTCCACAGGGCCACTACCTACTAGCTTTAGTTAATGATTTTGTTACCAGATGATCTACCCGGACGCTCACCCGTTGGACAAATGAGGTGAAAAAGTTACTTGCCAAAAAAGAAAATCTCCTTGCCCTGAACGACCGGACAGCACTTCTTTCGAGGCCCGGACTGGGAGTGTATACTGGTTGAACGAGCACAAAAACATCTTACCCTTGGTGTTGGACTGCGTGGAAGATGAGCTTGAAAAATCAGCGATTACATGGGTAACTCCACTGACTTGCTGGTCTAAAAGCTGCTGATGGGCCCGAGCGCTCTGGAATGCAAGCAAATAGCAACATTACTTCTCACACAAAAAAGAGAAGAGGAGAAATAAGAGCAAAGAGGATCCTTGCAATGAAAGACACGACTAATACAGTTGCGAAAGAAAAGCCTGAAAAAATTCAACCATCTGCAGTTGCTTTTGAGAGAAGAGAGGTGACGACATCACAAAAATGTGTGCAATTGTGCAATTATGGGATTCGTTGGCATACCGTAAAATTCCAAAAATAAGCCCCTCCATGTATAAGCCCCTCCAAATATACGCCCCCCAAACCGGTAACGAAAAAACCCCCCGTTAAATCGCTCCTCCAAATATTAGCCCCCCGGAGGTTTGTACTTGGAAAATTACCCTCAAATAGAAAACGAAGCAAAGCAAAAACGGTAAATTTACCTGCAACTATAAGGCTAGCCCAATCGATTTTGAAACGCAAATTTCCCTCCGAAAATAAGCCCCTCCAAAAATAAGCCCCTTAAAAAGGGCCTTTGAAAAATATAAGCCCCAGCGCTTATTTTCGGAATTTTACGGTATCTAGAAATAACAATAATTGAGCCTGTTGGTGCAAATTGGTGGGGTGATGTAAGCACCGTTATGATCCGACGACTCCATATAAGCGCTTCTAAAATAGGCCTGGATCGTAAACGTTACTAGTGGGAGTTGGGTACCCCTTAATATCACATTAATACACTACTCTGACTTACTTACATAACCCCCCCCCCCCCCCCCCCCCCCCCCACAAACAATTTTATTTAAAAACACCACACTCACGGGGGCTTTCGTGTTTTCCAGTGGGGGAGAGGGTTTACACCAAAGAAACAATTCCCAGCGCGTCACACCGAACTAAACATATGTATGTGGGATAGCAGAGGAGATTTGTATACGACGACTCCATATAAGCGCTTCTAAAATAGGCCTGGATCGTAAACGTTACTAGTGGGAGTTGGGTACCCCTTAATAGCACATTAATACACTACTCTGACTTACTTACATAACCCCCCCCCTCCGCCCCCCACTCCAGGAAAATTATACTATGATAAGCACTCATCTTGAGGGAGTCTTGCGTGTTTCCAAGTGGAACAGTGGTATTCAACAAGGAACTAATTACCGGCCAGGATCACAGTAATAGACTATTTGAGTGGAGGACGAGGACGAGATTTGACTTCAAGTTCTTTCGGGTATTGTCATAAAATGGACACCCCAGAAAGCTTCACTGCACTTTTTTCTCCATAAGGGCCCGTTAGCACGGTTATTTTTATTGAAAGAGGTTAAGGCCTCTCCCGATCACAAAATCATAAAAACCTCTAACATTTGATAACTTGTTTCCGTCACTACAACGTTTTCGCTAAACTCGTAGTAGCATGACAATGGCTTTCACGTTTTCTTTCCAACTTCACGAGCGCGCGCTACTTAGTATTGAGAAAATGTCGTTCTAGTAGTCGTACGCGTCTTAGAATCTACAAGTCTTTACTATTACACACCACTGGCCACCCTTCATAATTTTACTATAATAAGGACTCACCTTGAGGGAGTCACGCATGTTTCCTAGTGGAATAACATCTTGTTCGTTATCATCAATCAACAGTGTTGGCTGAGTCGTGTAAAATGTACTGTAGGCACAGTGTTCATGAAGAGAGTTCAACCAACGCTGAAAAAAAAATGATTACACAAGTCACACACTTTCACGAATGCCTTTCCTTTGGCTTGTTAAACTACAGGCGTGAGAAATAAACTTGGGCTCTGCGAACTAAGTTTTCAACAATGAGACAAATGCCACGTGGAAGGCTTTCACGGCTGTAAGCAAACATTTTAACAACAAAAAAAAGTCAAAAGTGGATAAAAAGATTATTGGTAGCTTTCAGTAAAAGATAAACTTAAAATTAAAACACTGCGACAGAAAACAGTTACATGACGTGACATGCTTTGCATTGTTATCAAACAACCACATAGATTAAATTGAAAAATTCCAAACAATTTTTTCTTGAGTCACGCTTCATATAGCCTACAAATGTAGCCGCCTTTCCTTGCTCTTAACCCACCGCAGCGATGAAAGATAGATGTATTAGAAGGCTAAGCTACATGGATATAATGAACCTGTTACAGACCTGTCTCTGCACTTGTGGAGCCTTTTCACTGGTGGGGATACTCCAGATGTGAACAGTGTTGTCTGAATAATGGATTTTAATTTTGTGTCTTTCATCTCTAGGAACCTTAAACCAAAACACGATGTAATGTTAAGACAGGAACTTTTCTCAGCCTACAATGCAAGTATATCTCTCGAGCAGCAAAGAATGGTTATTTATGTTCACAATCACATTGCTGTGGTTGCCATCTACGAGGAGGACAAGGAAGAGTAGCAATAGAAACCCTTGGGGTAAAAATAAAGCACCTTATTTGAGTGTCAATGTATTTAGCACAAAAGTACTAATTGGGGACACTATTTCTTACGTCTCCTACTGGAGACGGGATCGTCATTTTACATGGTCATCCGAGCCACGTGAAGGTCTACCAGTTTGCAGGGCAAAGGCAGTACCTTCATTTCTCAGTTATTTTAAGACCCTGGGTATTGGTCTGGCCCCAGGAAACAAACCCGCAGCCTCCCGCTCTGCAGTCAAGCACTCTACTGACGCTGAGCTAATCGTGCCACGGGTAGCTTTAGGACCTTCCCCATTTGACTTGCTCCAACTCCTTAATATTTTTTGGGAATTCAACATGACAATTACACTAGCACACTCATCAATCCACCCAAACAAATGCCTGCAATGCACCCGAGTAGAATATGTTTTTACCTTTGTGGGATTTGGCAGCACCCAACACCAGGGCTGTCGCTAAGATTTCAAGTTGCTGGGTATAAGAAATGAGCAGGTGGGGAATTGAACAGAGCTAGGAAGTTTTTTTTGGTTTTATTTTCCTTTTGTTTCCTATGAAAGTAGCCAGGGGTTATACTCATAACCAGGAGATCTTAGAGCACTTGACCTTTATTGTACATCACTGCCCTTTACTGCTAACAATTTCAGTTATTTTTAAGGTTTGAAAATAGAAAATGGGAATTTGGTGGTGAGTGCACCGCAAAACAACAGCTTGAGTGTGCAACAGGTTCTTGGATCATTATTAGAGGATAGAGTTATGAATGTATAACAATGCAGTAAAACAATCACAAAGATGGGTGAACTCACTAAGAATTTACAGCGGTCAAGGTATTTATACCCCTGCCTCTTGATACTAGCAGCAGCATCAGCTCTGAAAAACAAATGAAAAAAATAAGGTACAAAAATAGCATATAATATGACATAGAGAAACAGGAACAAGACAGCATATTCATTATAAATACCTTTTGTTAAAATAGCTAAGAACACCTCTTTCTAACACCACCCAAAATTTCTTCCAACCAAAAAACCGTGAGCGCTAAATAGAAAATAAAAAGAAATGGTCAGTACTACATTGTATGTCTATTAAAGAGCAGGTTTTTTTTGTTAAGGTTAAGAGCACTAGTTTGCCTTGTTAACTACTTGATGAAGAGTAACCCCCAAAAACCAATAAGCATCCCTGAATAACTGACACACACAAGACAAATAAATAATTAAAGGTAAATTATTATAACTTGCACTTGATTCACTTTTTGTCTCGCAAGGATCCTCCCCAAGAAACTGCTGTAGCATGCTTAAACAATACATTATATGCCGTAATGGTAGTCTCCACTTTCTTTCTGGATTGCAGTTCCCTTTGCTGAGATAATTATAAACTTGTTCTGTCAAGTCATAACCTATGCAAAAATATATTCATCATTGTTTTAAAACCCAAGTTTCTCAGGAAAATATTACCTTGAGTAGAAGGCCCTCATGCCTGGTTACAACTTTGTGAAGTTTCTTTGAGAAAAACCAAAGAGAAAGAAAACCATGAGACATTTTTAGCAAAGTTTATACCAATACTGAGACATGGACCAAGTATACATGATTGTATTCATGTTCTTTTCATTGATGCTCTTTGCTTGAATTATGAATAAAAAGGGAAAACAAAAAACAGAGTAACCTGTAGTGGTTGAACATCCAAAAGTTGTTTCATTTTCTTGTTGGCAGATAGGTCCAATGCTGTTTGTCCTAACAGTGCAAAACAATGCAATCTATTACTAACCGTAATTAAAAACTACAATAGGTGTACATATCATAAACTAAACAAGAAAAGAATGTGCATGAAATAAATTTTAGTTGGAAAGAAAAATACAACAACAACAAAAGATTTATCATTGTGTATGCAGCTAGGTCAGCTCATTAAAGATAATTAAGTGCCAAGCAATGCAAGTGCAAAATGCAAGGATAACATTTGCATATGAATTCACTACTGTTTTTTAGCATATGGAGTGAAGTAAGAGAAATACATTGGCTGTTCTACAGTGTATCAGCACAATTTTATACAGCCTTTATATATCATTAATACCACTGCCATTATCACCATGCCATTTACTACTTCACCTTTATCATTGTCACTATCTTTAAAAAATTCTTGAAGGAATTTAATAATGTCAAGTGTTATTGTTTTGAAAAAATTTAATAATCAAAATGTTGAGCTTACCACTACTGTTTTTGATTGTTGTATCTGCTCCATGTTGTAAAAGAGTAACTGCAATTACTTTGTGTCCCCTAAATTAAAGAGAAAAAAAAAAAACAGAAATAAAGTACTGCACTGAGAGCTGTTATTAAAGGCTGGCCATTTTAGGGTGGCTACAAAGTACATGACCTCCAGCTACTTTCTTAGGAAAATACTGTAGAAGAAAAATGAAACCAAAGAAATCCCTAGCTGTTTGATTCACCACCTACTTGTTGTATTTACTCAGCATAACTTGAAATCATAGTGACAACTTTGAGTACTGAGGGATCTGGCACAGTTTGTTCGCTATAACAAGGTTTTGTGATATTATTTCACCATTACTGAGGTGAAAAAAATCATTTATTACACCAAGGAGTTTGTTATCTGGAGGTATGTCATATTAAGGCTCTACTGTATTTTGCTACTATATGCATACATGTATGACATAATCTGAACCCTAAGAAGAGGGCCTACCCATAATCACATCTCATTTCTTACTAGAATGAAGCCTAGAGGATATTAAATAATGTCTTCTATCCTCATACACAGTCTGTAATCTTATGTTTTCATGGGGCTGCTTACCGATAGGCTGCACAGTGGAGTGGAGTGTTTCCTACCATGTCTTGACAGTTGATGTTAGGAGGGTGAACACTATCTACCTGCAAGGACAAAAGTAAGGCAAGGCAAATTGGCCATTTGTGTACATGTATGTGCATACCCTGTGCCACCATGATGACATTAACAGGATTTTTACAAAATGAAATTTAAACTTGTACAAAATACATAATTATTGTCATTGAATGAAACAGGAGGAAAATAGCTAATATAAAAAACTGACCAGTTTTTTAAGCTCGCTGTTGTCACCTTCCCTGGCAGCTGTGAGCAAACGTTCTTCTAACCTGAGCTGAAGGCTTCTTTCAGCAGCTGACAAAACAAAAGCACCATTAAAGACACTGGACTGTGAAATCTCCATGATAATTTCTTACAAATAACATATCACAGGCAAAAATAACAGATTCCCATTTTTGGATATTTTAGGGTATTTAAAGAATACCCCACAAAAATCCCAAATTTGGAAGAGTGAGACAAGTCCCAACCAGGGAACTTGGTTGGAATTCCCTCGTTGGGTCTTGTCTCACTTTGGTTAATTTGGGATTTTTGTGGGTATTCCTTAAATAACCTAAAATATCCAATATTGGGAATCTGTTATTTTTTCCTGTGTATACACATTGATTTAGCATGCTGTCATGATATAAATTTAACAGAATTAAGATAAATCACTATCCAGGGGATAAGTATTAGGGAAACCAATAATTTGTACTATCCAGCATCATGATGATAGTCATAGAGATTTATCCGGTGGATAGCGCAATCCACCTTTTCAACAACTAGGGCCAGGTTTCTAGTCCAGATTCTCTACCACTGAGGTATAGGAGACTTGTGGGATCTAAGGCCACTAAACTAGGATTCTTCTGAGCTGGCTGTGTCACTTACAGGTAAAAAAAACATCATTATCATGCACAGTATTATCTGAGCACCAAACAGGTTTACATTTATCAAATAACAAAAACCTACCTTTGATGAGTTGTTTAACCTCTGTACTATTTGTAACTTGACTTGGCTTCCTCCCTTCCCCATTTATGATTGTCACATCAGCATTGTATTGAATAAGCAGCGTGACAACATCCTAAAAAAGTTGAGTTGGTAAAGACTCATTTCCTACTTAATAAGAGGCTATATATGCCATGCCAAATTCCATATTTTGCATTGCATCTGCATTGAGATTTTTAAGTTCTGAGTCATTTTTTTCTCATACTGTGAACTCATTGAAGGTTGATATCAAAATAATGATTCTATCAAAGGGAAAGCAAGGCATAGTTTTTGGTCATTTTTCGGCAACACAGGAATAGAGAATTTGTAACAACAATTACAACAACAAAAATAACAAAAACAAATCACAGAACGTCTATACAGTCATGAATGATTGCAAAATGTGAAGTAAGTGTACCTTATTTGGAGAATAGTTTTATTTAAATTTTTTGTTCTACAATGTGCTATAGTCCAAAAAAATGGGGAAACTACATAATTCATAGCATACATTACATTATAATTTAAAGAATTCTTTATCAAAAACTTTAGATTTCAGAATAGAATGTTACATAGATTATTTCTCAATTCATCTCTTTTTTTCACCTAGTTCCCTCCACACAGTAATAAAACTTATCATCATCATCATTATCATCATCAAACACTTACAGCTCTTCCAGTGAAAGCGGCACGGTGTAATGGAGTATCTCCCATTCCATTCCTGGAATTCACATCCGCTCCATTCTAAAAATAGCATAATTAAAAAAGAGTATAAAATAAAGCTTTCAATTGAGGCTTCTTGTCAATGGCTGATGTTCTGGAAAACCAGGATATTCATATATACAGATAACCAAACTCTGTAACACTGTCTCGAGCTACCAGTTATTTGTAAGGAGCAAACAGAAAATTGAAATTGAATTGAATTGAAACAGATAACAAATAAATTAGTATGAAAAAAAAATGAATGAAGTCTTCCCCTGAATTTCATTCTCACTATTCGCTTCTCTCATCGTGACAAAGTGGAAGCTGTCTGAAACAGGCTGATAATAATAATAAAAAATATTTTGGAGGTACCATTAAGTCCAGGGAGACAGCTGGATTGTTTATTAACTCAATTAATGAGCTTCCTTGGCTTGTTCCTAGCTTCAATCATCCCATAAGTGAATCAACTCAGTTAGCTTAACCTGTTTACTGACTACATGGTATGATAATTATGTGTACTTATAATTTATGCACACTGACAATGAGCACCTTAGACAATACACAGAAAGCTTAGCTCTAAAGGCACAAAAGGGGAAAAGCTACTTTTCTTGTCTTTTTTATCTTTTTTTGGAAATCTTCTGGATTGGTTCAGAAAATGACAAATTTTTTACATACTTAAGGTAATGCTCTAGCAGCAACCGGTAGTCTCTGGCGCTTAACCCAATATCAACATACAAATTCTCCAAACTGATCTCCATACATTTCCTTAACGAATCAGTTGAGAGAATTTAATTACAGATCAAGGTATTTTCTCTTTGGTGATCATTTGTTTATTCTCATAACTGTATCTCTTGACAATTAATGGACATTGTTAGGAGAAAATTGATGTTAGTCACTATCGGGACTTAAAGGGTTAAAGTTTGCTCCCGGGTGACTAGGAAAACTTAGTTTTTTCTTAGAAACCATATGCTGAGCACCCTGGATTTCACAGGTTCAGAGCACTCCTGGGGCTCCTTTCAGTTTCTCTTAGAGCACAGCCTTGATATTGTCTAGTAAAATGACACACCTCCAATAAGACCTGTACAACATTCTTGTGACCAAAATAAGCTGCCAGATGAAGAGGAGTCCATCCTTGGTTGGATTTCGATTTCCCTAGAGACAAAACGGAGAATCTCACTATTTCACCTTTCCAACTTTCCCTCAGCCTTCACATACAATGAACTTGATTCTTTCTCCAATGATTGGCTAATTTTTCCTTCACTCCGTTTTTCTAGCACGCTGAGCATAAGAAGTTACTTTGCACAACAAAAAAAATCAGCTTGTTCTGGACAACCAGATGGGCCTTTTTTTCAGTCCCATTTCTCTCCTTTTCCTTTGTTCCTGCTAAATTTTATTCCCTATATCTTCTAGTTTAAACTATGCAATTTGAAATTCTTTAATTTTCTATCATTAACAGTTGATTCAGTGTTCCGTATTCCCTTTCTTTTCCAGTGATTCTGTTTCCGGATTCCAGATTTGGTGTTATCGTGCTGCCGTTCTCTCCAGGTTTCACCACTTTCTTTGTCAGTTGCAACATTCTATTTAAAGGTTTCCATTAATTTTTCTCCTCTTTTCTGATCTTTTCACTTGTGGATCACAACCTTTTAACAGACATTCATCTTTTTCCTAGTTTCTTAACACCCCTAGTTCCTGCCTGGTACACACCCCTGCAGCTATATTTCAGACTTTGGTTTCTTGGTTTTAAAAATTTTCTGCCTTAGAATACCCCCGTCACCCTTTTTCGGTACTCTCTCTAAGTACACACCCCTTGGCTTCTGGTACACATGTTTTTCTCTCCTTGGAGACACCTCCCTCCCCTCTTCTTCCTCTACTCATGTCTCTTTCACTCCATTTGCTACCTTCCTTCCTCATGTGGTTCCTACCTTTTCTACCTCATAAACAAGTAATAAAATCAATACCTTTGCAGTTTACATCAATTCTTTTGGAATTACTCTTGGATGTCTTAGTTTGTAACAGGTTCTAGAAAACAGAAAGAAGGTAAAAAAAAGGCATTCATTTGACGCTGCTGTCAGTTTAGTCCAGCTGTTATCGACCAAAAATATAGCGAATTGTTCACTTTTATGATAAAAGCATGAAACTTTGCCAGATTACAACCAACCCTAAGACTAACATTTTTGGATATGGAGCCAAGCCAAATTCAACACTGGACACGAGTGCTGCGCAGGCCCTAAAATGGACTACATGAAAACGAGGCTGACAGTGGAAATGCTTCTAAAATACCGGTTTTTAAGTGTTTTGGTAAATAAAACTTGCAGATATCGTGGAAAAAGACATTTGCTTTGCTGCCATGTTATCTTTGGTGTCACGTGACCCTTTCTTCCACATATGGCGAAGCCGTTGTTGGGTGTCCTGTGCTAAAGCTGTCTTCTGTGCATTTGTGTGTTTTAAGGGGTGAGAATGGGCACCGATTCACACAATTTTAAATGATAACACTCTTGCAACTATTTTCCAATTATCAAAGGTTGGATTTGTTTTCATACAAATGTCAATTACCACATGAAAACAAGGCAAGAATCCTTTAAACTGTTTGAAAAGCCTCCAGTTAGCACTGTGTGCGGTCATTTGGGGGTGGATTCAGATAACGTTGCATAAAAGCTTGCACTGATCAAAAATTGTGATTGTATGGCACTCTGGCTGTTGTTTTCCATCTAAATGTAGAGCGCCACTCAAAAACAAGGCAAAAATCCTTTTGATGATCTTAAAATCTAGCCTCCACTTTCTAGCATCCACGTTTGGATACTGCATTAAGCTATTAATATTCAAATGAACGGATGAATCGTTCGGGAATTCTCCTTTCAATTATTAACAAAGTCAATTACAAGGTTCAGTGCTGAATCCAGGAGGTGGTCCGACCCAAATAGCTCTACCCCCTTAATTTTGAAGAAATGCCACTTGATCCTTTCAAGTCGAAATTAATATCACCAGTTGTTGCTTACATTAAATGCATGAGATAGAACAGTCTTTAAAGTGAGTTTTCTACTACAGACATCAAAGGGGAGTTAAGAGTGTATCCTCAACAGACCAGTTAATCAGAAACCAATACAAATGGAAACTGCTAAAAAAATTAAAATGCTAAGGATTTGCAGTGAGTAAGGAAGAGATTCGTATGGATTCCAGGCAAGAAGTGAAAAAGAAGTAAAGTGACCTTCATAGTGTTTCCTCAACTCGAGTAGTGCTCATGCAACATACCTGTTGAGCAGTGTATGAATGGGATATGTATAGGGAACAACACTAAGTCTAAAGGTTTTAATTTTGACTAAGGGTATATCGTGGCAGTTTGTGGCTATGAACTCATTAAATGAAAGAAAAACTGCTTCTTTGGAATGGTGTCGATTCATCGTTGGCAAAACTGGTGTAGAACCTACTCTTAAGATACAGTGACATCTACAACTATCTTGTGGATAACACTATTAGAAAGGGGGGCTCTTCAATTCCTTAAATATGGCATATTTAAGGAAAAGTCTATGTCTTGTGACTTTCGATTGTCGTCTGTGGAGAAAAAAACTTTGCAAAAATGCCATGCGATCACACTTTTTGATCAATTCAGGCTTTTAGGCAATGTTCTATGAATCCAACTCAAGATGACTGCACGCGGGGCTAACTGGAGGCTTTTCAAACCGCTGGAAAGATTTTTGCCTTGTTTTCATGTAATGATTTGCATTCGTATGGTAAAAAACAGCCCTTGATAATTGGACAATAGTTTCAAGAGTGTTATCATTTAAACTTGCCTGAAAAGGTGTCCCTTCTCATCCCTTTAAACGCACAAATGCACAGAAGACAGCTTTAGCACAGGACACCCAACAATAGCCTCGCCATATTCGGAAGGAGGGGTCACGTGACACCAAAGATAACATGACAGCAAAGCAAATGTCTTTTTGTATGATATCTACAAGCTTTATTTACCAAAACACTTAAAAACCGGTATTTTAGAAGCATTTCCACTGTCAGCCTCGTTTTCATGTAGGCCATTTTAGGGCCTGCGCAGCACTCGTGTCCAGTGTTGAATTTGGCTTGGCTCCATATCCAAAAATGTTAGTCTTAGGGTTGGTTGTAATCTGGCAAAGTTTCATGCTTTTATCATAAAAGTGAACAGTTTTGGTCGATAACAGCTGGACTAGTTGAAGGTGGCATGGAAGATGGCACAAGCCTTTGCCTGTAAACTCAATGACACATGCCTTTAAAACTTGGCCATTATAAACACTGACTTTTTTTTATAATTTTATTCCAACTGGGATTGTTTGGCAATTTCAAGTTTTTCTGATCCACAATGAGAATTAGAGGTTAAGTAGTGAGACCATGAGATGATAACCTGAGCTGTGAGATGGTGAGAGTTTGCAGAATGCTGAATGCTGAATGCAGAATGCAGAATGATGCTGAAGTTTAGTGATTAGGGTTAGGAAACTGAGTGAATCAAGTTTCAGGTCCATTTTCCTAGTATAATGTCACCTTAAATGGAACCTGATTTACTCAATTTAATGTTTAACCCTAATCACCGAACTTGAGAGACATTCGCCATTTGGCGGCCACTCTGCATTCTGCAAAATACCCCTGCTGGATCTCACCATCTGTCAATGTGTTTGATGAACCAAAAACTGAATTTAGATGCACATATACTAAAATAAAACAATACACAAGAGTATTCTACTTAAACTTCTACTCAAAAACTCGCTTTCACATCCAAAAGAGTTTATAAAATAATTATAAAGATAACTACGTTTGTATTATTTTTTAATGTCATCATTGTAGTCCAAAACTTCTTTAACAAAGCTTTTTTTTTAATAAGAGCATGCAATGAATCGACAACAGCACAATACTATTATGCTAATTTGTGCCAAAGACCTATATAAATACCGACTTACGGAGGATCAGTCCTCAGTTGTAACTTGATTTGTAAAAGAATCGGGCTCATTATTTACAAGATATAAATTCAATGAGCTTGTAAGGAAGTGACTGATGTTATAAGTTTTAACGCTATTGTTTTTTTCTCTCTACAAGCTGATCGAAAGCAACGAAAAATTCGGGCAAGCATGAGGGAAATCTTCAAGTCAGAACAGTGATTAACTCGTGATCTTCTCGTTCTCTCTTACCATAGGAACAACGTTTTTTTTTTTGCTTTTAAAATGAATGGTTTTATTTGGGAAACAATCCACAAAGAGAATGATAGAAAGGCAGTCATACTTTCCGGTAAAACAAAGGTACATGTACGTGTGCTTATATTTTGCAGACATTTCACTGACGCCGAAGCAAAACATTAAGACAGTTGTAATTGTTATTAGCGTAGAAAATATGAGGCGTTGTAAATGGCATTGTTGTGATAAATCTTTAAAATAACTACGCGTTTTCAAATCCCTGGAAGGTCTGGCCTGTGATTTCTTAGCAAAAACAAAAACATAGTATTGTTTGCTACTTACAACCACTGTGTCGATGTCTCCCCTTCGAGAAGACTGCAAAAGTTTCTCTTCATATTCCTCCCTCTTGTTCGAGCTAGACATCCCTCTTTTCACTCACAGAATAATTCTTTTATCGTCATCTTTCCATAACTGTTGTTTTAAGCGAAAATTTGCTTTTAAAGGCCGCAAATGTACACAATTTTTCTCTCATTCTCCGCTTCAAAACTGCCCCGTAAGCTTGCAGAAGGTTCTAGTGCCCAAGCCCTTTCTGTGCTATAGCCCAGTCCTTGACGGACGAACACAAAACGTGATCCAATATGGCGTCGTTGCGATTATCTGTGGTTTCAAGACGGCTGATTTCGTCTCCCTTTTTGCAGCTAAGGACAATGACAGTTGGAGAAAAAGGAAGCGGAGTCGGAAAGGTGAGAATCTTATTTTCTTTTGGTGTATTTTTTGTGTGTGTTTAATTTGGATGTTACATAAACTAGTACTTAAAATGTCTATGTATCTCAACGCAAACTTGTTGTCAGTACACGTCTTTCCAGGAGGAACGTTTTTTTTCTTCAAAAACTTCTTTATTGACTTAAAAGTAACTTTATTTAGTCACTTGCGGACATTTTCTTTTGTTCGAACGGAAACTGGCGGTGGATTAAGCTCAATATTGTACAAAAATCACCTTTCGTCCACGAAATATTGAAATACAGGTTTCTATCTATCTGCATGTTTCAAAGAATTGCTTTAATACCCTTTAACATTTCCCTTTGGTCTAAAAGGTACTGTGATATACGTGTGTTTTTTGCCGTAATTACATAATGAAAATGATAACGAACAAAGGAGGTAATTGTAGTAGTAACGTTGTGTTGCGTGAAAGAGCCTGTCATGTGTGGGCGGCGGTATTGCAATGGTCATTCCGACCACCTAATATCCGCACCCCCCACTGATGACAAACTGTGAGTCATGATAAGAAAATAAAGATCAAAGTGGCACAATCCCCATCTGAGTTTAGGCAAAAGAAAAGATGATGTCTTGAAGTCATAGAGAGTACCAACATAGCTATACCATTGGAAATTGACTGGTGAAGATCTCTCCCACCCCTCAGGATTGCCCCAACCTTCAGTTGCTAGGAGAGGAGGTGTATTTTATAGGTATTGAATGGAATGGTCCAATCTCTAAGATATAAGGTTAATGTTGTATTAACATGGGGTTTACGGTCAAGTTGCCGGAAAGTAATCTCGTGCGAAGTTAGAAACGATGAGTTACAGTATTTTGCCTAAAATTTTATCATGCTCAACAGCATCCCAGTGTCTTTATCGCTCTTGTTTTGTGTCATCAAATCGTAAAGAACAGGATAATAATATTATTTATTTATTGCTCTTGTTTCGTTTCATCATTGCCAATATATAATTTATTCAGACGAATCGGTCACCATTAATGGTGCCTAACCCTGACCCCAAACAATACTGAAACAATTGAAAGAATGACATGTCTTTGTTTTCTGCGCCCAATCAAAAGAGACCTAACGAGCAACTCCTACAGAACTGGACGAATCAGACGTGGATACATCATGTTAAAGAACTTATTCCCAGAAATGCGTGATTTTAGTGCTTATCCACTTGCTTTGCGTTTCTAATTAAATAAAAAGTACATAAAAGACCTTTTTTAAATGCTACCAGTTCTAAGCCCGACAAAACTAACAGGGGACGTGTAAAATAATAGACAATTTGCTGAAGTATGGAGAGTTGACTGTATGCTTGACGCTTTTTTATTTGCATGCGTCCCTGTTTAGTTGAGAGAAAGTCTAGGAATATAACAATGTAAATTATTTTCACTGCTAAGCATTGTAGACCATCAAACATCACAAAAATGAATCGAGTCTTATGTCTAAATCAAGTATTGATTTATCCTATATTAACTTGGTCAACCTAAATAGATATAGAGTTCAGTACATGTAGAGTTTGACATTAAGAGTCGGCCTCATTTATATTCACCAGGCTCAAAATTCGCCATGTGTAATGTTTAGTGGTTTTTTACTTTTTTCAGGGTGGTGGTGGAGGAGGAGATATCAGGTAGGTAAACTAAACTCCTTAAACGTTAGTTATGATCAACAGGCTACACTCCAATTCATTATACTTACTGGTGTACTATATACAGGGCATAGAGGTTTGAGAGGAAAAAGTCCTTTTTTTTTTTATTTTGCTAATAATATTATTATTGTTAGTATTATTCAGTATAAAACTTTACAGTAGCATAAAATAACCAGAACTAGCTTACAGCTTATGGCATAAAGATATGTTTCCAAACATAGACAAAGTTGCAAATAACTTGATGAACTTTCAAAAACTGAAAGACTGAACAGTTTTTAGTCACCCCAGTTAGGAACTTTTCTTTAGTTGTGTTTGTCTGGGCCTTTTATGTTTTTGCTGGGTTATTTAAGTGTTTCTCCTCTGTTTTAATCCATTCTCTCGTGGGAAGAAGTTTGCCAACTATTGCATTTTGGAGCAAGTAGAGCTGTTTTCTGTCCTCTGTTGTGTATTTGCCCCGGGGTGGGGGTGGGGGGGGGGGTACTCTTAATTTTCAAGTGGTGGGAACGATTGAAAGGTTAAAAAAATCAAAACCCCAAAAAATCCCTGGACCAAAAATAAACCGCCCAAAAATTTGAAGTCAAATTTTCAAGCCTTCGAAATTTCCAGATAGTATTAAAAAATGATGCAGCACAAAAAATAAGTTAGAATTTGAATGTTTGTGTTTGCAGGCCCGATTTGCCGGCACTACCAACAGTCTTCACATTGTTTTGAATACCCAATAATTTCCCTACTTAAGCCAAGCCACCAAAAAAATACTTACCAAATTTTCCTACCCAAAAAAAATTCTGGAGTAAAGAAACATAGTACATGATATATTAAAACAATCTTAAAGAATGCTCAAAACTTCTGAGATTTCTCGCCCAAATGATCAACTCAGGTAAATAGTTCCATTCTTTAACGATTCATATTAATTATTCTTACAAAAATGAGTATTCATAACAGTTATAGTTACATTGTACATGTAGCTCCTTGTTCTTTTAAAAGCTAACCATGTTTTAAACATTTTGTGACAATAGTATTAAAATAAATTATTATTATTATCATCAGGAGTGCTGGAGGAGCATTTGGGAAAATGGAGCATGCCCATGAGGAACAGTACTTCAGAAAATTGGTAGGACTGATCATTAAAATAATATTTAACCTTAAAGTTTTCTTTTTTTTTCATAACATCATATTAAAGAGAGGATTAGTTTGTTAGCATGGGCTTGTTGTCAGTTATTCATAATTTACAGGTGTGCATGTGTACCTTGTCACCTGAGATGGAAACAGAATACTTGGCACATACATGTATGTCTTATTCTGGGAAACCAGACAATTTTAGGTTGGTCTGTAAACACCATCTGGATGTCTGGATACAAGAAAATGCTGCATCTTGTGTTTAAAATTATTACTCAAAAGAAGCATATATATTATTCCAAAATGGTGGCAATAAAAAAATAATGACTTTTCTTTTATTCCTTTATATTAATTAGTTCCCTTTGCCTAAATAGTATCTTCAGAATTCAAAAGAGCATGTACAGTTAACTTCCGCTTATACATAATTTGTAAGAACCTCTTATGGGCCCATCTGCCGGTAAATAAAAAAAATACATCAGGTTATAACTCCCCCGTCCTTCCCCTCTCCAGTTTATATTATTGAAGTGAATTCGGTTTTTTATGACGGTTTGAATTTGAAAAAAAGCAAGTAAAATTTAAAAAATTTTTTGATCAGCACTACTATTTAGCTTGTTTTGCCCCCCAACCTCCCCTCCCCCTTTATACACCATCCTAAAACCCCTTACAAAGCTGTTTTAGCCAAGGACTTACAATCGGAAGATTAAAGTCTCATAAAACGAGGTGTAAGGGGTAATCAGTTTCTTGTGGACCAAGGCTGTGCTCTAAGAAAAAGTCGAAGGGAGCCCAGTGCTTTGAACCTGCGAATTCCAGGGTGCCTAGCTTACTGGATTTCGATGCAAAACTAAGATTTCCTAGTCGCCCAAGAGCAAAAGTAAGGCGTCAGGGGTCAATGGGCACTGCTAGAGTACAGCCCTGTGGACAAATGAGTAACTAAATACACTGGAAATTATGAGGTGTATGGCTTGGTAGAATCTATTTCTTAAAATACACAAGCACGAGGAATTAATTGAGGTAAAAACGGTCAAGAAAATGACAGGTATAAGTTAATTCTCACACATCACTGGTAACCATGCCAAGCTGATGCCACAGCCTGACCTTTAACCCAAATTCAGAAAAATGTACACATACACTGTAACATACCCCTAGAAAGGTGGAACACTAACAAGATTATGTTAGGGTGGGTGGGTCAGTAATGGCAGACGAAACAAAAGCAACTGTCTGCCTTTTGGTCACATGACCCATACCCAGTCTCCTAGTGGTGTGTGACAAAAACATTTTCCAGTTATTTCGTTACACTTAGCCAGTGGAAAATTCCCCTGTTATTCACAGGAACAAGAGAAGCTGAAGGAGATGAAAGAGCATCTGGAGGAGTCCATGTCTTACCACGAAAAGGAGATCAAACACCATGAAGATGCCATCCGTCGCCACCGCAAGGCAATGGACAAGCACCAGAAGGGAATAGAAAAACTGAGTGATGCGGAATCATCCGATGATGAGAAAAAATAATTTGAAGAGTTTTTGTGTGTTTTGCGTTGCATTGGGTCACCTTTCTTCGTGGGGATGCTCGTAAAATTCAACTGTATGATCGTGAATGCAAGTGCAAATATTTTTTTTTCACTGCTGCTTTCTACTGGTTGTTATCATGTCTTAGGATTTTGATGAAAATAAAACGTTATCATCTGAGCTGTTTTGTAGACACCTTCTTGTTAAAGCTTCGTTATAACGCTCCAGTACCACCCCGATGGGTCAAAAATACGTATTTAATGTCGTAGTTCCTTTAGCTAGGCTTTACAATAAAGTGTAATAAAATAAGACAACAAACATATGGCGTAAAGGGGGGGAAAACCTCTCCGCGATCGGCGTGGTGAACGACTTCCACAGCGTGACCATAAAGCCTTACTTATCTCCCCGGCGCTAATTTACGCGCGCCGGATCGGAAAAGTTCAGGTAGGTCCGAAAGAAACAAACTTGATACTGCCTTACACTCCACGGCACTACGAGCTGAAACCTCCGGCCAGCATCGTGCAAGTTAATGGAACGGTGTAGGCAAATATTTTGTTCTAGGAACTTTCATAATATTTTCATTGCACAACCAGCCAAAGTACCACCCTACAGGTCAAAGCAAACCAGCCCAAGTAGCGGCCTGATGGGTCAAAAATAAGCATATTTTCATTGCCAAACCAACCCAGTTACCACCTCGACGGACAAAAATACACTTATTTTCATTTCCAAACCAGGACAAGTACCTCCACCCCCCCGGCCGGATGGGTAAAAAATAATTTATTTTTCTATTGACAAACAATGGCCATTGTTCTCTAATCACTCTGCAGTGAAACGAGAACAAATTATTTTCATTCTTATGTACAGCAACGCAGACAAGATCAGGAATACGCATCTCGTTTAAAAACTATAAACCAGTTAGGCGGGCGGCTTAACAAACAGAATAATGAAATGACTTAAAATTACAAATAAGTCACTTTACACAAATACAAAAAAGTCACTTATAATTCATATTAGAAAACGGACTTAATATAATGAATTACAACTGCAAAACTGTACACTGAAAAGAGATAGGTGAAAAAATTAGACGTGAATTATGAAAAAGAAAAATGCCATCGAGATAATATATTAAGAAAAATAAGTACAAACTAAAGAATATCAAGAGAAAAAATGCGGAAGCGAACAAAAAGCTGCCAAAGAAAAACAGAGCGAAACGTACAAGTGCAAAAAGATATGCCGTCGAGTGACCTTGCGCTAAAACGTACTCCTTATATACGATAACACAAATGACAGCATGCAGAAGCATGCTATGATGTAACATGCAACCACCTCGTGAATTCCCAAACGCGGGAAAATACATTTTCCAAGTTCCAAACCTTTACTATCAGCCGGACGTCACACTCGGCCTCATTTTGAAAAAGAGGCAAGACAAAATGGGAATGGCTTTTTATGTGGGGTTGTACTAGCCTCCTCTGCCGCAGGCAACTCCTGTTACACTGACCTTGAGGAGTCTGAGGACGAGACGAGGAGAAAAAACATGCGGTGGAGGCGGTGGAGTTGTCGAGGAGTTGCCATCTGTGTGTAGCTCCCCGTTCTCTCCCCATTCTCCCACTCGTTCTCTAAAACAGGACAGTGATGCCCTGCTGAGGCGGCTAGGGTTGTAGAGTTGCTACGCTAAAAATCTGTTTGTGCTCGGTTTGGTCTGTACGTGTCGGTCTCGCGGGTTGCTCCGTGGGGTGTGTTATAGTGGGGTGGTGGGGGGTAGGTGTGTGGCTGGGGGTGTGGGTGATTTGGTGTTAAAGAGGGTGTTGGGGTGGGTGTGTATGGGAGGGGGGGGGGGGGGGGGGGGGATGATGTCTGGGCAAGCAAAAATAAAACTGAAACAGCGGTAATAAAAATGTGAACTTGGGCATTTTTATATTAACTTGACGACGTTTCTTGTCCACGTACATTTTCAAAAGCGCGACCATTACAGAAAGTGATAAGGGGTCTGGGAATGAGTAGTCTGAAATGTTATCCGTCATCAATTTTGCCGCAAGTGATTTAAAACGCTTACTGCCACGGTCCTAGAGATCTGAACGGCAACTCTAGACACAGGCATTGATTTACAAGGGCGAAATATCCAACTTTTATACCGGGATGTGCCGCTGGGACCCTGTAACCCTTAACCTATACCAGAGCTAGTTCAGCTGAATTTTGCTTAAACTCCCTATCCTAGAGTAGCTGTTTTCCAGAAACTACTGAGGTCACTAGCACAGTAGTCTAGCAACTCTGGCCAAAACAAATCCTTATAACCAAGAGTCTCTTTTTATAACACAATCCCTAGTCTAGATAAAATCTTCAACCAACTGATCAGTTTCCTGAAAAATGATACCCTATTCTAGACCCAAACCCTCTGATTTATATACCCTATGCTAGAGTAAGTTGCTTGAAAACCATACCCTTCACAGCGGCACATACCTATATAGCCCAAATATGGCAGTACCCCCGGCCCCCCGGGCATTAACGGGGTCTCCAAAATGATAAAATGACTCAATGATTTTTACGTTTAGATCCAAAGGATGGCTTTTTAGTTATTTTGAGTGTCCCACTACTGTATGCACCGTTTATTTAATATTTATTTACACTGTTATATTCTTGTAAATCCTTTTAGTTGTCTACAGTAGTAGAAATAAACTGTTGTTGTTGTTTGTTATTGTACTTATCAAGGTCTACAACTGGGAGATCCGGCACCACTCAACGGTTAGTCGCTATGGACTTAATTGCTGATATTTTGTATTTTCGGTATCCGGGATTTGGCCAAGCATACGGTGCGGGATTCGGGAAAACGCAAATTATATTGACCGGAAACGTAATCTGACTGCTACCCGGGAAGCGGTATTCCTCGAAATTCGGGCAAGGGGTTGCGAGATTTTTTTTGTCTGTCTATCGGACGGAATTCGGCGGGAAGTCGTACGTTCTAGCGGCAAATGCGAACAATCAAACAGGCGAGCGTTCAGTGGTGTCTCCTAGTATCTCGTTAACCTCTTCGTTTATTCAGCTTTTCCCCTCTGCTTCGTCATACTGAGGCATTAAAAGATGTTGCAATGGCCTTAAAACACACGTAAATTCAAAATATCTATCGAAAGGGTCAATCTACATGTTACTTATTTAGCTTTTGCAGCAATTGATCTTTTTAACTTATGTATTTTGGAAACAAAAAACGGGTTTCGGGAAAGTGATGAAAAATAGTGCGGGATGCGGGATTTTCGTGAAAAAGGAGGGAAATCGCGATCAGGCCCCTCCCCTCTCTTTCCAGACCCTGGTACTTGTGACCTGCACACAAAGTTGAGTTCTACTCGGGTCCAACGGCTGGAGAAGTAAGTCGAAAAACAAACTTTCTCATCTCTTTTTGACGCCAACAGTAAATAAGTGGATTAACAACAGAGTTAAACATAATAAACGTGCGGACCCAAATACACGGCAGGCAGTCAGCAATCAAACCTTGGTGAAAAATGTTCATCTTTTTCAACACAAAAACCGTCACCGTTGCAGCAGCCATGGGCAAAAAACATACAAACACTGCACTGACTACCAAAACGGTTGTTTTGAGAGCTTTTTTCTCTTTGTTGAATCTGTGCACTTCTTCTTGAGGTAATTGGTGAGCTTTGATCATCTTAACATGGCGGCGTGTCTCGCGAAACAAAATTACATAAGCAAATGCCATGAAAATAACGCACGAAACAACGATTAAAGCTGCTAATAAATTTAACAGCGATGCCTTGCTTGTGTTTCGTGGCTCCCCAAGTGCAGCGTAGGAGGTAGAAACGACCCAGGAAGCGATAACAGCTGCTCTAATGTTTCTTCTTGTAACTATGCTAGCGTAACGCTGGGTGAATCGGATCGCTATGAGCCTCTCGCTAGTAACTAACACCAGATGAAGAGACGAACAAAGAGACAAGGCACGGAGAACGATGGTGTATAAAAATCCGATCGTTTCGTGGGTTTTCATTTCTAGCAACTGTAATATTTTCCACAAGCTATACAGTGGCTGCGTTGTGAGACCAGTCAGTGCGTCGGTAACAGCTAGACAGGCCAGTAAAATGTTGGCATAGTTCTGAAGTCTCGGTCTTCGCTTCACGGCTATGATCACCATCATGTTGAGCAGGACGGTAAAAGGACAGACAACCATGTTAAAAATGATGGTGAGGATGATATTGAGTACTGTAGCATCTACGGCAAAGTTTAGTTTTGTCTCGCTTTCAGTAGTGATATTTGAAAACTTTTTGGTGGAATCGAGAATATTTTGTATAGAAAGGTTGGCCATGATCGGATCGATGAGCAGGAGACGTCAGCCGGTAGTTCACAAGCCGAGATCAAGATGACGGGGTGCGTCTTTTCTTGGTTAAAAACTCCCACTTTTCGGGTTCGTCTATTTGTATTAAAGGAACAACGTGCGTACTGAACTCAAATATACTATAAATCTTCCGTCAATCTGAAACCGTGGTCGTGAAAATTGATAGATAGATGGACGCCTTGAAAATACCAAACGACACTGGTGATAGTCGAGTGATTTATGATTTAGCTTGGTAAACATCAGTCTAATAAGCCGCCCAGAATAAAAACTTAATCAGCAATACTGAGTTCCTTTTTAATTAAAAACCTCTTAGGATGGATGAATATTAAATACTGTTTCACAGATGATAAAAAAATCGTGTTGAAATTAGAGGTCGCAAAAGTTTGCAACAGTTACGATTTCGTTATCTTTACTGCTCATGAATCAATTGCATAATGAAGAACTTTGTCCATCAGTCGTCTTTGATTCTCTTCAGTAAATAAATAATTCTTTTTCTTTGGATGAATTGCAGTTAAAATAAGCCAGCGACCTACTGTATGCCGATTTGCTATGAAACTAACAGCCGCTTTTCATCTGTCAATTTCACAAAACCTTATTACCGTCGTATCCTGATTATTGCTTAAAGGATTAAATTAAGCTTTTACTTGCTACCTTTAATCAAAAACAAGCAAAAATATATTATCTTGACTAACGCTTCCCTGAAAACAGTTTTACACAAGTGTTTTTAATACATGTTTTCCCGAGCTTTAAGACAGGCGCGTTTTTCCCTCCCTGTACATTACATTTTGTTCGTTAAGAAATTGATGGATCACGTTAAAAACGAATTAACGTCATCGGGTTAGTTTTGTTCATTCCTTTTTTATTTTTTGCGCAATAACTTGCGGCTAAGAACTATTATTTAAAGTAACATTTTTGCAGCTTCTAATACCCAAATCACAAAACACAATATATTTTATGTATATAAAAAATATTGCCGATTGTCACGTTTTCCTAGGATGTTAAGAATCAGTGTCGATATTATTTTTTAAGAGTTTCTTCCAGGTCTGTTTATAGACCATGAACTATTAAACATTTTCACTCCCAGTGAAAAAACCAAACCAGCCCAAGTACCCCACCCCGGGCCGGATGGGTGAAAATTAAGCAAGTTTTTATCGACAAACAGCCATGATAACGAAATGGCCATTTCCGAGCTCCAAAACCTTACTTTCAAAGTGGTGTGGTGAGTGCAAAATGAGCTCTATTAGTGTGAGAATAAAACAAACTATTTCCATATCAGAGACGTCGCACTCGGCCTCCTTTTGAAAAAGAGGCCAGACAAAAGGGGAATGGCTTTTTATGTGGGGTTGTAGTAGCCTCCGCCGCCACAGGCAACTCCTGTTACACTGACCGTCAGCAGTCTGAGGATGAGAAAAGGAGAAAAAAATGTGGTGGACTTGCCATTGTAGCGTTGCAGTTGTGTTCTCCGTTGCAGTTTGGTCCTCTCACCTATCAACCAATAGAATGGGGTTTTATTTCTTCCAATCAAAGTGCGTTGTGATCGTGTCTTCTTCATGTGACTTCCCAACTGGGGAGGGCTGTAGTATGAGTTTTGTTCGTTTCAGTGTCCTGATCGTGTGGAAGACTTGTGTATGAAACAGTTTTGGAGCGTTTTCCCTGATGGGTTTTGGAGAATTTTACAGAAGTTTGAGGTTTGTTCGAAACTTTCCTCGGTCAACGCATAGTTTCATATGTTGGAGAGCTAGAAAGCCTGGGACAAGGATGAAAGCACAAGTCTTAGCTATCTTAACGGATATGGGCTAAAAATTAAGTTGATCGATACGAAAATGAGAGACGGAGTAGAAACGGCACAATCCGCTCTTCATATTTTTATAACATGTAAAACAAAAGCGTGAAATTTAACTTTAACGACTCACAGCGCCATAACAAAAAAAGCTTAAGAATTACATTTTACGGTTTTGCTGTAATTTATATGAGAGGAAGCGTCGGAATTTTAGGCTTTAACACAACAACTAAGCCGGCGGTACAAATGAATTGGAACGTTGACAAACTTTACTACCGTCCCCGACCCGCTAAACTTGCAAATTTTGCTGGAAGACCAAACTGCAACGGAGGTTCTTTTCCAGTCCTATGCCGCGACTACCACGATAGATCGCATGACCTGATTAGCTTGCATATCACATTACGTCAGAGGTCATAGTCACAAGATAGGACATAAGTGCAACGGTACAGCCATCACTGTAGCTCGCTGTTCTCTCCCCATTCTCCCACTCGTTCTCTAAAAAAACCAGTGATGCCTGCGGAGGAGGCTAGGGTTGTAGAGTTGCTACGCTAAAAATCTGCTTTTGCTCGGTTTGGGGGAGGGGATAATGCCAGTTTATCTTTGTCTAGCAAGATTGTAACCTTTCGGGAAGCAAAAATAAAACTGAAACAGCGGTAATAAACATCGTGAACGTACGTATTTTTATATTAACTTGACTTTTTACGTGCTAGTCAACGTAAAAGGCATTTTCAAAAGTGACCATTACAGGGATCTGGGACTGAGTTTCGCGATGGGCAATATGGACGTAGATGCACCGCACCTCATATCAATCTTGCCTTCAGTGATTAATAATGCTTACACACGGTCCCGAAGAGATCTGAATGGCAAACCAAAAAGCCAGAAGATTGTAAATAACAAGGCTCGATTACCAGCCGCTGTTCGGGAAACGAGCCCGCGCTCTATAATACGCTTTCGATCGCACGCTTTCGTTAACTTGCGAACTTCCCTGAACGGCTTCGTAAACCTTACCCGATCTTTTCATCTTTCATTCCCTATCCTCAAAATATGCTCTGCCGTTCAGGTGTTAAACTTACATTTGCCAACCCTCTGCTGGCTGCCGTTGCTCACTTTCATCTGGGAAATGCGAGAAAAATTGAGAAAGTATAAACTGGCTAGAAAACTGCCCTATTGCTATGGTGGCGTAAAAACTCAGTGAATATTCTCAGTTTTCCCTTGTCCCCTTTGTAGCCCAGATACCACATTTCGAAGACGCGGCATCCACGTCTTCTGTGTAAGCCTCAGGTTGCCTTCGTTACCGTCAATGCTCGGCCCAGTATTCGAATCCGCTTTGTTCTCCTTTCTAAATAAAAGGTATACAGCGCGTTCGTGAAAAATGAACCATTAGAGGACATTACACTATCGGATATGAAGGACGTGGCTGGAATAACAATACTATATACAGTTGTTCATCAGATTGGTGGTGAATAGTGCAGAAAATGACCTCCCAGTTTTAACCCATGCCGCTTTCCCGGTCGGGCTTTGATAAGGTGTGCTCGAAAAAGTTGCTTAAAATGTTTGTAGCAGTGATCGTATGTTTCTTAATTTACGCCAATAATTGTGCTACTTTTTGTAAATACAGAAATGATGCTTTTACTTTTTACTTTAAACCTGGTAAAAACACCTCAATACTCTATGCAACAAACAAGTAAATCTGGCGAACACTTTTACCATATTTACATCTAGAAACTTTAAGAGTGCATAAGTCATTCAAGTCACTCAAACAAATTACAACCAAACATCGGCGACCGAAGCCATCTTGGGTAACGAAGCTAGTTATGCGCATGCGTTGAGTCCTGGATCACTTTCCGTGGGACCCAGGTCCCATGAATGTGACAGGTTAGTTAGTTTGGTCAAGCGCTAGCTTGGACAACATGGATTCTCCCTCGCCAGCCACTTTGGTCTAGCATTGACGTTCTGAGTTGTCCAATAGTAGTGGAGAACCCGGTGTCCTCAAGCAAAGTGTTTATGTACGCCCCTTGGTTTTCCTCTCTTAGTTTGTCTGTGTTGTGGCTGCCACAGCACAAGCTTCGATGCCTCCTCCTTTTTTGTGTCTAACTTAATGCCCGGCTACTCTCATTCTTCTTTTCCTGATATTGACAGAAACTTTTGGTAGGGGACCGTACAGATCTTCACTTGTAATGTAACAAAAAAGTAAAAAAAAAAATGATTTTGTTGCTTAAATTTGCCAGCTGATGTTGGGCTTAAAAAATTGCTTACGGGATCAGTAAATAAATATTTTGTGCTACAAGACTAGCCAAGAGTGCAAATCACACTACTAGCAGTGCTTTTTTCGGAAAATAGATGAAAATTATGCTAGTAATGACGAATTATGCCAAAAATTATGCCAGCATAATCTAACAAAGCCTATTTTCCGGACCTCATGTGGGCAGCTCTCAAGTTCCTATCCCCCCACCCCCACCCACCTCCACGCATCCCCCTCACCGCATTTCCAAAACCAGCTATGCCGAAACTTTCGGTCATTGCTAGGCGCACTCTATTATTTTTTGTTTGCTGTTCATTTATGTCAAGGCATCAATAGTTCCCCCCCCCACCCCGCCACTCTCCCTCCACGGATGTTCACCCGCATTTCTGACTATGAGTTTGGAGCTAGTTGGGCAGGTGTTTTTTCTCTTTTTTGATGCTGTAATTAAGCTATGTTTATAACAGTAACAAATAAAATAAGCAGTCTTTCATGATAGAAATCTTTTGAAATACTAACGACGTCAACGATGTAGTACAGTTAAAAAATTATTAAATAAATTTCCTTATATTTTCCAGTGTTACCAATATTGGGTTTTAAGATCTATTGCTAAATGACAAGTCAGTGGAAAAGCGCTGGGGAAGACTGAGTGAAGGACTAACACAGAATAATCCGGATTAAGTCCTGCTGATAGTCTGATTAAAAGAAACAATGACAACGGCGACTGGATAAAAATTTAAAACACTGAATATATTTAGCCAAACCCAATAACCTTTGAGTGGAGCAGGTGCTAAGCGAAATCCTGGTCTTCCGGCGAAAAGAACTTAGCTATGATTTCTACTTTTGTCTTCTCATTGTTCGGTTTGCTGTCTCAAGCACAAGAAACACTAGGAGAAACCATGGTACAAGGTTAGTTCTTTTTTGTTGTTTCTGTGATGTGATAGGTTTAGA